TTATCAGTTAGACAAGGGTAAACATAAACACATCGTTCAATACTACCATCACGCTCACATAAAGAATGTGTCTTTGGTCCAAATTTACTCTTGCAGGTAGCATCACAGTTAATGACATTACAGTCGGCAATAATTGCTATACATCCCATATTCTGCTCAGCTATATCCAACAAAAACGGTTTTTTTTATAATTAGATAATATATCAATTATTAGTATTTTGGAGAAATTACTATTTTGAACTGCATAAGTTATAATATATGCTAAGGAATATAGCAAAAAAAAATGTATATAGATGTTAATGTATAATTAAGGCTATCATCACAAAATCTATAAGTTTTAGGACATGATAAAGAACATAGCCAACATTGAGTTACTTTAATTAAAATAAATAAATATATGCTGCTGAAAAAACAAGAAGATAAATGTATACCTAAAGAAAATATAATAAGAAAGATGATTGGGAGAAGAAGGGAAGAAATTGCTCTGGCCATATTTGATTTTTTTTGTTTTTTTCTCTTATAAGTAATTCTTGACAGAGTGGATTTAGTTGATAGATTTGAAAAATTGGGTACAACTGAAGAGGGATATATACCATGATGAAGTAACTAAGTTTTAGAAATATAATGATTTACCATTATTTCATGGTTGACTAAAACTTTATCTAACTGTAATTTTACGTTTATGACATAGATAAATATGGAAGCTCACTTATATCATGTTGAATTAATTCTGGTAAAATGTAAAACTATATGGTTTATACTTTTGGGATTAACATATACGCTAGTAGTTTATTTTCGTGGAAAAAATAAAAAATCTCTAAATCATGTAGTCAGATTAACATCATCGGCAATAAAAAGTTTCTAACCAATGTTTTTAAAACCGGATCGGAGTACGAACCAGAAAAGCTTTCGGGTCATGGGTCAACACGGTCGAACCGGTTCAACCGGGGTTTTAATATATATTTTATATATATATATATATATGGAAATTAATACTTATTTGATTATGCATTAGCCATCAATGTATATGTGATTGCTACTTTTATATTTTTATTAATTAAATAAGGAATACTTTCCAACTACAAAAAAAGAGATTAAATTTGTCATAAACCCTATTTTTTCTTTTTGTCTAAAGCGCCGCCTCCCATCTTCGTGACTCTCCTCCTCTCCCCTTGTTCTCCTTCTTCTCCTTTCTTCTCCTTCCTTCCTCTCTCTCTGCTCAAATTTCTGTAAAATAGTTTCTTCCAACTTTTTTTTTCTTTCTTAGATATAATTTTTTTTCTGCCCATATCGAAACCGGGTTTACAAATCGACCCGAACCGGCCGGTTTTCGACTTTTTACCGGTTTTTTGCTGGTTTTTTTGGGTCAATTGCATTTCCGGTTTTCTATTAAAATCAAACCGGGAGATGCACCGGTTCCCGGTTTAACCGGTCCGACCGGCCGGTCCGGTCCGATTTTTTAATCACTGTCTCTAACCTTTATGGCTTTATACAACGAACTTTTTTTACGAACAAAGGAAGGCTATAAATTTAATAAAAAAATAACCGCGTTTGTAAAGCCTTTTTAATGGTTCAACAAATATTAAAATAAAAAGTCTATTCCAGCGATGAAATATTTAACTATTAGCAAAAAGCTATATACTACATGTCTCAACTAATAAAGGGTGAATTAAAGAACGTGAAGGGCATGCAGTGCATGGACTCAGACAACATTGATCACATGAAAAACTATGTCAAGTTGCTCAATTTTGATATTTTAGTCACACAAACAAAAGTTGCTCAATTTTCATAAGCTTTTTTTACTTTAAACCAAATTAATCGGTAATTATATTTGCAGTAATTAACAACGTTTTCCGTTTGCAACTTCCAGATTCTACTCTCTTCACATTGCCTCTCGTTGGATGCGTGTTATGATTTGGGTGTTATGGTGTTCGATTCGATTTCGGAGTTTTTGTTTGGGCGATGCTATTAGCTTGGAAGGGATCGGAAAAAAACTAATAAAAAAAAATTTCGTGGTATTATTAAAGTTACACGCTTGACTGCATAAACCAGCCCCACCATTGCACACTTTGGGTTTAGTCGGCGGCAAGGGTGGTGGTGGTGGCTATGCTTTACATAAGTAGTAGCACCTGCACAACGGCACCCCAACAGAGCGGTCACAGTTGCTTTCGCTCGATGGCCCGTGTTTGGCCTTGCATTTCTGGTCACAGTTTTGGCAATAGCCTAGACCGTCGACGCATATCGTTGCTCCAGTATGATCTACAACTGTAACATTGTACTGTATACATCATTAAACTTACCATAGAAATAATATTTTGGCTTTACTAAAAAATATCATATCATGTTATTCATGTGCACTGTCGTACTAGCTAGTATCTTGTTTTTCTTTTTTTCATCCAAGGCAATCCGAATCCCTATTCGTGAGACGTTAACCACAAGTGGTTCTGTATTATATGTTATAACATTTGAAACTATAATAAAAATGTGTCAAATGAATCAATTAAACATAACAACTGAAAGATGTATATATAGAAGATATAATATTACCTGAGGAAAACACGATAAGTAAGCTGAGAAGGAATGCAAATGAAGTTATTCTCTCCATATGTTCACGTTGAAGCTAGTTTTTTTCTTATTGTCTCGTGGTATTTGTTTGTATGCTTTTTGTGACATTTGTTTGTCTATTTAAAAGCAAGAGCAAGATGTACGTTAGGGTATTACAATCAGAGTTAATGAGAAGATATTTGACTTAACATTAACGATTCCGTGATCAGTGTGACTGGAGATATGATTGTATCCGTAATAAAAGACTCCAGTAAATATTTAGGAAGGTGTCTCAAAATTTTAGGATCATAACATTAGTTTTCCGACAAACAAGTCATTATAATATTTTCAGATACACCAATGTATTGCCAAATTGATATGGCCATTAATGTCGACGAATGGGATTTTCAGTTTAAAGCCCAATTTAAACCAACTTTAGTCTTTGATCTTAATTTGGTTTGCTATAAGATTAGATTCGGTATGGTGTTGATTTCGGTTTAGATTTATTTTCTGTTATCAAACTGTTAAAATCTGAAAACTACGAAGATAAGAAAGATTGGTCGGTTTATAATACTATTACTTAACTACTAAAGATAATGTTATAGATTGCTCACATAGATAGTTTTTTTGTGTCGTAAATTTCACATAGATAGTTGAAAGATTGGTTATAGGCTTCTTTCGTTGTGTAATTCAAGATGTTGCCGTTTTGCATTACGGCGACATTACAGTATTCTATTTCAATTTTTTTTTCGTCAACTATTTTATTTCAAATGCAAAGGAAGTGAGTTGCATGCAATGCATGGAGACTCAGACAACAATCATTTGTTTTGAACAATAGAATAATTAATAATGTGGACATCGTGCATGTCTGGCTTAGATCACATGAAAATTTCTGTCAAGTTGCTCAATTTTCATATAATTTTTGTGTGTGTATATAGTAGTATATAATTGGGGGTTACACTTGACTCGGTCTGGCAAAAGAGAAGGTTCCTCCAAATTAATGAACTTAAAATAACAAAAATAATGCTACGCATTGTGTATATATTAGGCTATCATCAATTGGATCTCTTAGCTTATGCAAAGCCAGAGCTAATTTTCAAACCAAAAAGTCTTATATGAAAAATTTGAAATTGTCAAATATATGTATATGCTAAAAACTAAAAAGTAGTCCTTAGTCATGATTTTAGATTTTATTTTATCAAGTGTAGGAGATTTCGAAAAAAAAAACGATATTGCCCATTAAACACCAAGAAATACGAAACTCTAAAAGAAAAAAATCGATAGCCTAGTAAAACTTTTCTTACAGATTAATATTCACATCATTAGTACGTTAATTCACATCATTATCTTTTGGTAAGAGACAAAATACCAGCTTTTATCCATTGTTATATTTAAACAGCTGTTAATTACTGCACCTTGTAGTTAACCACTAAAATTTTAATTAGCCAGCCACAATAGTCCAAAAAATAATTAAAAAGACAAGCGTTCTCCTTTGTCCATTAGCAAAATTACACGTCATACAGTTAATAATAAGAATGCGAATTACTTCATTTCTTCCGCCAATGCAATTTTCTTCATGTAATTTTATTAATCTCTCCCTCAAAAATTTGCTTCCTCTGTTTCGAACCCAATTTGGCATCTTTCTTCTTCTTCTTCTTCTTCTTCGTCATCATTTTCTCTGTAGCTCTTTCACAGCCATTTCTTCATTACCTATCGAGAGAGATCACAGCGAAAACGAAACGAAATCCGTGAGAGGGAAATTTTTTGAAAACTACTAAGAAAATTTTAAACATACCATCAAGAGGATACATCCGTTTTCATTTGCGCAGCTAGCTCTCGAGCGTTTGAAAATTTCTCGAGATCAGGAAACGGACTAGAGATAGCAAATCACGACGGCGATACGACGAGTCTCTCTCTTGCGTTGTGACTGGATCTGGTTTCCGTTTGAAATCTCCAGGTTCCACTCTCTTCACATTGCCTCTCGTTGATGCGTGTAACGCCTTGGGTGCTATGGTGTTTGATTTCGATTCCGAATTTTCTGTTTGGGCGATAAATCGATCGGAATGTGCCTCCGAGAATTTTCAAAATTTTCATCGAAATTAAAACGGAAGTGGAGGTCTTGATTTCGCTTGATCTCCTTCTTCTCTGATAATTTTCCGGGAAATCGGATGCTTTTTCCCGAGAAAATGGTTTTTAAAATTCCTCAAAGCATTTATCTCTTGAACCATTCGTTGACTGGATTTAATTGCAGTGAGCGTTTCGTTTTGAAAATGGCTTTAGGAACAGTGAGGCTGATTTGACTTTCCTCGCTTTCGTGGATAAAACTACAACTTGGTCGTTGGACTAATCTTATTCAATTGAAAACTTTTCTTCACTAAAGTTTCATTCTTGTTTCTATTTCTGTAACTTTCCAGGAATCATATTCATCAGAAGTTAGCTCCATTAGGTTTGATGAGATGAAAGGAGGAGCTAAAAGGTGGAGTCTTTGCAACATAAGGGACACGGCGTATTTGCCTGGAGGTCGATACCGTGCACCAACAAGAAGACGAGTATGGATCATCATGGCGCTTTCTCTGATCGCCATGTTCGCTGTTGTGGCTTACATGTACCCTCACCACAGTAAACGTGCTTGTTACATGATTTCGTCAAGAGGATGCAAGGCTTTAGCTGACTGGCTTCCACCTGCTCTGAGGGAGTTCTCGGATGATGAGATTGCGTCCCGAGTAGTGATTAGAGAGATATTGAGTAATCCTCCTGTGATTAGAAAGAACTCCAAGATTGCTTTCATGTTCTTGACGCCTGGGACATTGCCCTTTGAGAGGCTATGGGACAGGTTTTTCCAGGTAAACGTTCATTGAATATGCAGATAGTTTGTTCTTGAACTTAATTCTGATTGTTTTGGAGTTTTGTCTCTCGTCACAGGGCCATGAAGGGAAGTTCTCTGTTTATATACATGCATCAAAGGAAAGGCCAGTTCACTACAGTCGTTACTTTGTCAACCGGGAAATTCGCAGTGATGAGGTTTGTCTACTTGTCCTGCCTTTCATGTTTTATCACCATCGACGTTGACATGAGAAAAAAATGTATACTTTTCATCTGCAGGTGGTGTGGGGAAGAATATCAATGGTTGATGCAGAGAGAAGGTTGTTAGCTAATGCTCTTAGAGACCCTGCAAACCAGCAATTCGCTCTACTCTCTGACAGGTGATTTATTGATTTTTTGCTTCTCTTCTCGTTGATCACTCTGAGGTTGTCTCTAACACGTTTGAGTGTGTCTGGTATTGCAGTTGTGTACCGCTTAGAAGTTTTGAGTACATTTACAATTACTTGATGTACAGCAATGTCAGCTATGTCGACTGGTAAAAAGTTAAAAGTTTCATCAGATTTGACAAATTTCATCTTTTTTACTCTTCTTCCCCCAACTTATATGATTCCATTCTTCAGCTTTGACGATCCAGGTGAACATGGATCAGGCAGGCATATGAATCACATGCTCCCTGAAATTCCCAAAAAGGATTTTCGAAAGGGTGCGCAGGTGAAAAACACATTGCCATTGATTCAGTAATCGTACTAACCTGATGCATTAACTATTCCTTTGTGAGTGATGAATTAGTGCTAATGTGCAGTGGTTCACCATGAAGCGACAACACGCTGTAGCAACTATGGCAGACAGTCTTTACTACTCCAAATTCAGGGATTACTGTGGGGTGAGTATCAGCTACGATCCCCAAATATAGATGTTTCTTCTACCTTCCTTTCACTCATTAGTAAGAAGCTTGCATTTTTGTTTTCTGCAGCCAGGTATAGAGAACAACAAGAACTGCATAGCTGATGAACACTATCTGCCAACATTCTTTTATGTAAGATCTCGTTTCAACTCAAAAAATAAAAGGAAAAAATCTCATGTTCTCTCTTCATCGGTTGCATATTTTATCTGTTGCAGATGCTTGATCCCAATGGCATCTCTAACTGGACTGTAACACAAGTTGATTGGTCTGAGAGAAAGTGGCATCCCAAGACATATATGCCTGAGGATATCACACACGAGTTACTAAACAACCTCACGGTATATTATAATCAAATCCTATCATCAGTTACTTCAGTTACGAAAGTTAACCAAAGTCTTAATTTTTTTATTTATCCATTTGCAGTCTACTGACACAGTTGTACATGTCACAAGTGTTGGGATGGTACGTCCTTTCAAAACCAATATCTTCTTCTCTCGTATTTTAGCTCTGTTTTTTAAAAATTTTGTTTCACTAGGATTAACAAAACCTCTCTTTTGGTTTAACAACAGGGTGAAGAAATATGGATGCCTTGTATATGGAACGGAATCAAAAGACCTTGCTACTTGTTTGGAAGGAAGTTTCACCCGGATGCACTCGATAAACTGTTGGATCTCTTCTCAAATTACACAAGATCGGTCAAATGGCATTTGTGATTATAAAAAAAAAAGGGGCATTTCTTCTTATACAACTACACTCAAGATTCTTTGACCAACGTTCGATTCCTCAACCACATGAATCAAAATCACCTTTGGAAGAGTCTTCTCAGAAAGATCCCTAGAAGCTTTACCACTAGAAGTCTAGAAGCTTAAGAAGGAGGTATGAGATTGTTTTTTCTCGGTTGATGCTATATTTGTTTGGAGGGAGACGTTGGTTCCCATTTAATTTTTTTACTTCTCTGTTTCTTCGGTATATCTCATATTGTTACTTTACTGTTGTGAAAAAAAGAGAGATTTCGACTGGTGGTTGTTTTTTTGTTCAGAATGATGAATGAAACAAACTTATACAGGTTTATAGAGCTTCTTTGCATATATGTGTGGGTAGCCGACCTATCATTTTCCTATCCCGAATATAATTCCCAACCAAAATATTAATACCACTACATAAATCATCTCAATTGTGACAAATAATAACAGTAGTTCAAAACAATTTCCATAGTAGAAAAAGGAAGTTACAACACACACCGCCTATTCTAGGCAGTAACAAACAATTTGCGATTTCGGCAATAAAAATACATATTTGATTTGACGTGAAAACGATAGAGGAGATTTGGCACCCAAACACTATTTTATGGGTTTGAGAAAAATACAAATTTTATGGTTATGATGAGAAAACACTATCCATGTTAGCATTAAGAAACTTTACTCACACGACACCACATCAGCATTTAGTCCCACGCTTTTTTGGAAGGGTACTGACTCTTGTGATTTGGTTTCTCGCATTACTAAAACAAAAGAAGCTCAATTAAGATGCTTAGGCTTAATCTAAGGTAGGCCTGGGAGTAGAGAGAAACATTGCTGCAAATGTTGTTTTAATTTAAGGTAGGCTAAACTAAAACACCAACCAAGTAGCCTTCACAACTTCTAGAGACCAAACCTTACTGGAGATTTATTTGTGTACTCCAAGACAATGTGTTTCCTGCATGTTTTTTTTTTTTTTTATGTTGTTCAATTTAATTTCGGAATTGCTTCTGCCGAGGAATGCTGTAAAATTGGTTCTTGTGCTCTTGCCTTATGGAGTATTAAACAGTGATGTGATTTTGTTTTTGATCTTGTGTTTCCTTTTTCCCTTGTTTAGGTGTGAAGTCGCAGTTTAATTATATTGAACAGGGCTTGTCAGGTAAATATTATCTCTTTAGTTTATAGTTATACAAGTATGCATGTATAGAATTTCTTCACACATGGTGTTTCAGTTATGTGGCTGGATATGTCATGTGTTATTGAACAATGCAGCAATGATTATTTTAATCTGCACCTTCTCAAGTTCACAATGTGCATCAAGTTCATTTAATGATAATATGAAAGCGATGATGATTTTGAATTCAAATCAAGCCACAACACTATTTTATGGTTTTGACAAGAATACAATGTTACCTGTTTTAGGGAGAAAACTGTTTTGGTGGAAAAAAAAAAAAAAACTTTACTGTGTGTTAGAGGACTGAGACTACACATGAGTATTAGGTTTGGAACACCTTGACCTCGTCTCCCCAAGCTCTCCAGTCAAACACCTATGACTGGAGAGCTTCACCATGACATCACTGAAATGCTCTCTAAATAGTGACGGGTCAGAGCATAGGCTCTGACCCACCTTACCGTTCATTCCTGCGACATCAATTGGTGATTGGAAAAAAGCACTCCCTTACTCTCTAATAGCCAGTTGAAATACCTTGTCCCATTTACATAATAAATATAAACACCTTCAATCTACACGATTACACAATTAATCTACACGACTACACATCCAATCGTTGTCTTAGACAAAACAAGCAATTGATCTAATAGAGAAGCTTACAAAAAGAAAAAGAATCTCTTAATCCGGAATAAAATCCCAAACCAAAATATTCCAAAACATTAAATTTTGATAAATTATTGTTTTAAACAGTTTCATAATAGTAAAGAGGTAAATCACATCCTTCCTCTCTATTAGCCTGTTGAAAAGTACACATTGTGGGCACTTGCATGCTATGCTTCATAACAAATAAGGTACATATTGATATAGATGATTAATATTTTTTAATGCTTATTTGTTTCAACAAACAATTTGTTGTTTACCTGTTGATTATTTTTCAGTCTTTTCATTTTCATATTAAACAGATTGTTTGCTAGACTTTCTAAACTCCCCAAAATGTTTTGTGCTTTTTTCTTTTTTTTTTATAACTTTTGTATTTCTTTTGGACTACTAATTCAATGTTGTTCGAAGCTTCTTACTTCTGATCTGTGATTTGTGCTATATAATTTCTTGAAGAATCGATCTGTCGAGGTGAAATTTGATTCTCCAATAAAAAAGTTTTTATGCAAAACCAAACAAAACATCTAATCTGCAACTAATCTTTTTCAATAATAAACAATTTTTTATATGTGAGAAGTAAAAAGTTCTCACAATCAATCTCACAATTTGTTCTAGACATTCTCTATGAAATCATTTGTTATAAGAAAAGAAAAAACAAAATATGAAGTAAGATCCATGGTGTTCGTGTTCCTCTTCTTGAACATATATAATTCTAGACTACACACGTGACAACTGACAGGTGAGATCCATGATCGTAATATTTTGGCATAAAGTATGATCATCCGATTGGTATGTGTTGAAGTTATGTTGGTAAAATCAATGAATCATGCAAGAAAATAACCCATTCGTACTTGCACACAAAGAGTCAATCCCATTATTATATTTTTAAACTTCTATTAATTAAAAAGACCGTAAGAGAAACCACATATTCTTGATATTATCAAATGACCATCTCTCTAACATTACGTCTTCGTACCGCTCTTCTTATCTCTCTAATCACTCTCACGTGCCCAAAGCGATGCACATCGCATGCTCCACTTACGCTAAAGCTATTGCACACAAAATTAATCAGAAACAATTACTTGCATCCCAAACAAATTCCCTCTTCTCGTTTTGATAACTTGTGGCCCACGGACACAGCGGATATCGTCTCACATGTCACACCTATTCCAAGTCCAGCAGCATTCGTCGCAAACATCTCTATCGGCGACCCACCGGTTTCGCAGCTCCTACTCATCGACACAGGCAGTGACCTAACTTGGATCCAGTGTCTTCCTTGCAAATGTTACCCTCAAACAATTCCTTTTTACCACCCTTTAAGATCTTCCACTTACCGTAACGCATCTTGCGAATCCGCACCACAAGCCATGCCTCGAATCTCTCGCGACGAAGAGACCGGAACTTGCCAATATTACCTCCGCTACCGAGACTATTCGACCACCGGAGGCGTTTTAGCCGAGGAAAAGCTCACTTTTCAAACATCCGACGACGGTTTAACCGCTAAACCTAACGTTGTCTTCGGCTGCGGACAAGACAACTCCGGTTTCACTCAATACAGTGGCGTCCTCGGTTTAGGACCCGGTAAATTCTCCATAGTAACACGTAATTTCGGGTCTAAATTCTCTTACTGCTTCGGCAGCTTAACCGATCCGACATATCCTCACAACATTCTCATCCTCGGAGACGGCGCAAGAACCGAAGGCGATCCAACTCCTTTACATATATCAAAAGACCGTTACTACCTTGACCTCCAAGCAATCTCCTTAGGAGAGAAACTTCTTGATATTGACCCCGGCGTTTTCAAGAGATATGGATCACAAGGAGGCACGGTCATCGACACGGGCTGTTCACCGACGATTCTTGTAAGAGAAGCTTACGAAACGCTCTCTGACGAAATCGATAATCTTCTAGGAGATGTTCTCACGCGCGTCAAAGGTTGGGAGCCATACACGAATCCATGCTACGTTGGGAATATGAAACTCGATCTCTTGGGATTTCCCGTCGTCACGTTTCATTTCGCCGGCGGAGCTGAGCTGGCGTTAGACGTTGAGAGCTTGTTCGTTAGCAGTGGAAGTGGAGATAGGTTTTGTTTGGGTATGAGTATGAACACGTTCGATGATATGAGCGTAATTGGTGCCATGGCTCAGCAGAATAATAATGTTGGGTATGATCTTCGAAACATGAAGGTTTATTTCCAGAGGATTGATTGTGAACTTCTTGATTCTTAAGGGTTGATAAGAGTTATTATATTTTTCTTTTTGCGCAAGACCCGTTATAATTGTGTCATGTAAACTAAATTCAAAATTAATTACAACCATGCAAAGAAAATTTATATCAGATATTTCCCAAAACAAAAATTTCTTTAGGACAAAACTGAACAAGAAAGATTGGTAGTTACAGAAATAAATAACAAAGCTAAGGAAAAAATTAGATAAATAAACCAGAATTTCTGGTAATTAAGAAAACAAAGAAAAAGGAAAATGTTGTTTCCTTTCTTGTAATGGATATATCTATTTTCTGATTGGTATAGCTACACTATCTATCTTTTATTATAAATAAGTAGACATATCATGCCTCTTATTAATCATCAATGGTGATGAATTTACAGATATCAGAATTCGAGACAGAGAGTTTGAGAAAGAAAAGAAAACAAGATTGTTCGAGTATGGAATTGTTACCAAACGGTGTCGTAACAGAGAGTTTGAGAAAGAAAAGAAAACAAGATTGTTCGAGTATGGAATTGTTGTTACCAGACGATGTCCTAGAGCACATCCTTGAGAGACTTCATCCGGAATCGTTGATGAGGTTCAAGTGTGTGTCGAAGAAGTGGGCATCCACAATCGAATCCACATACTTCAAAGAAAGACAGCTGACCATCCATAGTGGTGGAGATCCCTTACTCCTCTTGCTTTACATGTCTTGTGATGATGATGAGGATGATGTTGCTGGTCCGAACATGGAAGAAGTGCCCGTGTCAATGTCAATTATGTCATCACCACGAGTTACTGCGGTGAAGATCCCTACCGAGAGCACATTTGTTTCCCAGACCAGTTGCGACGGTCTTGTCTGCGTCTACAGTCTCTACGGTTCGGGTCTCGTAGCCAATCCCACCACCAGATGGAGTCGAAGTTTCCCTCCGTCAAGGTTCCAAGAGCGGATTCGCGACTTGAAAGACAAATTCTTCGAGCTTGAATACCAATTCCCTCTCCTCGGATTCGGCAAAGACAACCTCAACGGCACGTTCAAGCCGGTCTTCTTGTACAACAACTCTTGTTCCGAAGAGCTGGGACTTGATAAAGACTGCGAAACCACATGCGAAGTTTTCGACTTTAGCACCAACGCTTGGAGGTACGTTTTCCCTGCTTCCCCTGTCCGCGTTATCGCTTTCCTTGAGCCTATGTTTCACGACGGGTCGCTTCACTGGTTCACCGAGGGTGAGAAGAAACCAATGTCTTGTCTTTCCATCTCCACACGGAAACTTTTCAAGTCTCCGAGAAATCTATTCCCTTTGTCGGCCATGTGCATCCTGAAGATGTCGCCATGTGCAGCCTCAGCGATCGTCTTTGCGTGTCTCAGAGGACGCCGGACCTCTCACAACTCGTATGGTCCTTTGCTTCAGGAAACATGACATGGGCCAAGTTATATCACATAGATCACTCCATAATCTCTTCTTGGTTTGGGACGCACGCATACGCATCATCGCTACTCTCTGTGTTAGCACTTCCGTCTGTTGCTAAAGGGAAGAAGCCTAAGCTATTGCTATATGATCGCGGGTTTCTCGACCCCAAGCAACGCCTCGTGCTCCACGATCCCGAGACCAAATCTTGTGAACTGGTTTTTGAAGCCAAATCTATCGGCCTTCCTCTTTGTTAACGTTACTCCAAGAGTTTGATCTCTATTCCCTCCTAAACATGTTATTGCTTGCGTTTCCCTTTCTCTTTTGTTTGTAATTTCACAATTGCTATATATATTTATTCTTCTTCCCGATAATTCGTTTTGTCTTTCTACGTAAAAGAAGAAAAACATACTCTCTTAGATGATTATTGTATCAGCAAATTTACTCACATATCACTGCATAGCGAATGTTTTCAAAGAACCGACAAATAGTCAAGTAAGTAACAACACATTCATTATATAGCCACAACTCTGGTGTTTTTTTCCTTATTTTGAATTACCGAGTCACAACATCAAAAGCTTCAACAGCACACAAGTTAAAAACAAAAAAGGAACAAATTACTCCAAGCCTAAACCGTGACGAATTTATTAGGATCACTGATTTTATTATATCCATTAGGATCCTGATAGAAGCATACACCTCGATGAATAGTTTGGATGCCATATACAATCGTGAAATTATGTAGATTGGATGCGGCTGGCGTTTGCAAGTTTTAAAATCTGTTGTTTGAGTAAATTGCTAACTAATTTCCAGAATTAAAGTGTTTATAATCCATCAGTCTTATAATATTTTTCAATAAACAAAATAGCCATTTCACTCATCATTTTTTTTTAAATGTTTTACAGTACATTCATATTCCATAAATTAATAATCACTATAAAACAAACTATTAATATAATTTATTTGTTTCATGAATCATGATATATACATATGTATTAATGTATATATGTATTTTCAAAAAAAAATCAGTTTTATATTTTTCAAAATCACTTCCCCGTCTCTGTTTCTATGCAATAAGTGTAAAAATATGAAGACAATTTTAAGATAGGTCATACATAAAAGCATACACCTCGATGAAGAGTTTGGATGGGATCACAAAATCGTGAAATTGTGTAGATTGGATGCGGTTGGAGTTTGCAAGATGATGAGGGTTATTTACGCTCTCTTATTTCGATTTCAGTAGCTTACCTTTTCTCATTAAACTTCTTATTTATGCAAGCACGAGTGAATTATGTTTGTCTATGATTCTTCTTGATTTTGTACAGCTTTGCTTACTTTTGTCTTTAAACTTCCTATCTATGCAAAACTGATTTTCTTTTCTTTCTTGATTTTATGATCTTGAACATCTTTGCTTTGGGATGTCTTCTACGTGGTTGCTTAGTTTTGTCTTTGTCTTTCGTTCGTTGATCTTTAAAACATTATTTTATACAAGCACGAGTGAACTGTTTTATCTATTTTGTTTTTTGCTTTCTTACAAAATTCTTAATTTTGTGTGTTACTAAGATTAAGATAAGAACAGTGATTTCAGAATCGGTTCACCTGAGCTCTTTGTAACATAGAATCGATTTAGTTGAAGAACCCTAGCTTCTAATTTAGAGATTTTTAGGTGTGGAATCATTTGGAAAACTCTGTAGAGTTTTTCTTCTTTGACAAAATAAAAACGCATCGTAAAGTGCTTTTAAGCTTTAATTAACGTACGGAGGGGTTAAAACATTAATATTTGTTACTTGAGGTGAGGGGTTTTCATGTAAAATTCGAAGTTGAGAGGTTTAATTACAATTAATCGTTACTTGAAGGGTTTCTCGTTAAATTCCCAAAAAAAAAGAAAGCAAAATCGAAAATTGAAATAATTTGACCGTTGCTGAGACTAGTTATAACATCTAATGATGTTGCTTTCCATGAAGAACAACATAACATCTTGCTTCAGAAAATCCTCGTATGTTATACATTTATTGTCAAATGACCGGTCACGAGGACCAAGATCCTGAATTGAGAAATTGACACTAAAAGATTTAGGCAATGGCCGCAAATGATAAAAATCTTACAATTTAGAATTACGAGAACAAGATCTTGAAATGAGAAAGTTGCATACCTTAGACTTTTCTATCAAACTTCTTCGGACTTGGGTGTACATTTTACCAAACAAATGGTGCAATCTTCAAAAACACACTCTTCACATCTAATGATAATTTTGCTCCATCCGAGATATGAAAAGTGCATATCTTGTGTGGACAGGGAGTTAGATCGGAGACTCATTTCTTTTGCCAAGTCATTCCCTCGTCAATGGAGAACTATAGCTGGGCTGATGGGACATGATCTTCAGTCTTGTTATACAATCTGCATTATTCTTATCATTATCATTATTATTACTGCATATTACAAATCTCATATTACAACCTAATCTAACAAAACTGTGACAGAAATAACAACCATGATTACACAGTAAAAACATGATCTTGGAGGCCATATCTGGTTGTTAACGTCTCCTTTAATGTCTAGAACACTGTAACGATTTTCTTTTTTTTATAATCAGTCTTCTGTTTTTCTTGGGACAGAAGTAGAAAGATTAGTAGTTAACAGAGCTAATGCATATATCGTTTAATCATCTTACTATCATCTCTCTTGACATGGAGTTTAAGAACTAATTATACAAACTGCATTATTCTTCTTTTACTCAGACAAAATTACCTTATCATTATTATTACTGCATATTACAAAAATAATAATAATAATATTACAAAGTCTCTCATTCTTTTGCTTCATCGCCTTTGTCCCATAGCAACCACAGGAATACTCACTTTATGCCCTCGGCTTCCTTTCAGTGTAACATCTCCGAAGCTATAACCTCCGATCACCGATCTCACCGTCAGAGTCACCGAGAAGGTTCTAGAAGCTCCGGCTCTAAGCGTCATAGCAGGAGGACTCACTTCAATGGCGACAGATGGCTCCATTCTTGAAGTGATTGTGTATGTTTCTTCCTCTTCTGCAACATTCGTCACTCTTCTTGTCACGGTCTGTGTTCTCACAAGGTGAGAGATGGCTATGGATGGGGAGTTGAAGTTTGAAGGATGTCCCATTTTGAAATTGCAAGGAGTGTTTGTGAAGTTCCTTATCTCGTGAGCATCGATACCTGGCGTGGTGCACAAGAATCCTAAATAGTCCTCATAACCTACAAGAAACCACAATCATACAAATCAAAATGTGTACCAAAAGATCAAAACGTGAATAAAAGCAGACAGAGAAGTTTATATTACCTGCATCAAAGATGAGACCAGGGTCAAGAGCAGCGCTTGGATTGACATGACCACTTCCATAATCAAAAGGAGTGGCTTTAACAAGCGTGACTGTCTCTGTTTCTGAGTACTGCTGTGCTTGGAGAGGCCTTCCTGCTCGATCCATGACTGTTGAAGTCGTCATCAGAGCTGATTTGATAGCAGCTGGACTCCATTGAGGATGCTTCTGTTTCACCAGAGCAGCTATACCGGCAATGTGTGGTGCAGCCATGCTTGTGCCAGAGATTAGTGCAAATCCTTCGCCTGCAGCTCAAACAATCCAAAACTGAACATTTAGTCTCTTGCTCTAAGAGTATACTAATAATTAACTCTACCAAGAAATGATGAAATGCTTACCGACATAATTAGCCTCGTCTGTTCCATTTTGAGACCAGGCAGACCATATAAGAGAGCCAGGAGCAAGAATATCTGGTTTGAGGAGATCAGCATCTTGAAAGCTGAAATCTTTAGTGTTGGGTCCTCGAGCTGAGAACAGAGCCACTTCAGGTGCTGATTTGTGAAGAATGGGCTCTAAACCGTCTCCGATGCTTCCTTCAGCTTTAAAGCTCTTTACTCTTCCCATCCAATCTCTTGACGTTGTGACATTGTAGTAATCAATCAAATCCTAAGGAAGAGAAAACACATTACAAGATAAGAAAAAGATAAGGGAGTGAATAACTGTTTAGTGAATGCTTATTACCATTGACTTAGAGACTTCTGTGATCAGAATTCCAGGAATGCAAGAAGGAACAGGATCAAACTTTGTTCCTGGAGACACATTTTCGACAACAAGAACGAAACCAGCTGCGCCTAGATGCTTGGCAGTTTCAGCAACTTTCTTGATGGAAGCTGAGCCAGCAACAAAGTTGAAAGAATATCCACAAAGCAGAATGTTTCCTTCAACCAATTTCTTGTTCAAGACTTCTGGCCTCTGGCAATCCGAGGGATTGTATTTATTCGTACCAGAATCAAGCAGAACATCATTCGCAGAGACCATCTTGTACGAACGATGAGGTCGTGTAGAAGCTGCACATAACACATAAACTCATCAACAAAACCAATACAAAGACTCAGACTAAGATACTATTGTGTGGAGATCTATATCAACTCACGGGATAATCCTATTCCGGCAAGCATTTTCCCATTTCCAAGGGTCAGATGGTTTTTGTATCTGCGATCATCAATTGCAGCAGCTACAGTAGTGATCCAAGGGCTGTATGAAACCAGAGTTTTCGGAAAGGGGCCTCCGTTTCCAGCAGCTTGAGCAACAAAGACACCAGCTTTTACAGCTCCAAGAAGTGTTGCATCGAATGGATTCAAGAATGTTGTCTTTGTAGTAGCTGGAGGACTGTTTGGACCAACCGAGAGGCTCAAAATATCAACTCCATCATGAACAGCCTGCTCAGAAAAAGCATACTAAGTTTAGATAATGAAATTTGCAGAAACTTCTTGAAAAATGTAATATATTAGAATATAAGGAAGTTAGCAGTTGAAAATATTAGTTCACTTGTGAAGATTCTCAAAACAGAACAAAGAAGCAGAGTTTTGAAGAAACTGGAACAAATGTAGCCCATCATTTCATTTGCTAATCAACAAAGCTTTAGATGGCAGCAACCACATCAATGGCATTGTGATAAGTTCTTGCTTACCTGATCAATGGCAGCAACCACATCAGACACAAAGCCTCCAAAAAGCCGGTAAAGAGCTTTGTAAACAGCAATCCTGAAAGAGAACAGCATTTTACTTTTAAAAGACATGCAAATGGGATATCTTTAATGCCACAAGCTATGGATTATCTATCTACCTTGCACGAGGAGCCATCCCACTCGCTTTTCCGAATTCATAGCCATGCATCCTCACCGGAATACCATTATTCCCAGCTGCAATAGCTGCTGTATGACTGAAACGCCAATTTTCCAATAAGAACAAAATAAAAAACATGACTAAACAAATTTAAATGTCCAGAGGATAAGAAGTGTGAGCAAAGCAGACACATTTAAGAAACCAAGAAGACGAACCTTCCATGTCCATCACCATCCATCGGTGAAGCAAAGTCAACATCAGGGTTAAACGCACCAGCTGCTTTAGCAGCTTCAGCAAAATGCTGTGCTCCTATGATCTTCCCATTACAGAAGCTAATCTTAGTAAGAGGATCATCTTCACATTTCCCTCTGTAACTAGGATGAGGGCCATAAGGCACTGCTGTATGGTGAGAGGCAAAGCTAGGATGATGTGGAAATATCCCAGAGTCAATAAAGCCTATCACAATATCTTCTCCTGCTCTATCATAACCACCACCGGTTGGCCAAACATCAGTTGGTAACCCCAAAAACTGTGGTGTGTGTGTTGTGAGCTTCCTCACTTTCCAATCTCTGCTCACAGACTTCACACCAGGCGCACGGCGAAGCATCTCCGCCTACTAATGTTACCGGAATAGTGTTAGGGACTGCAACATAAACACTGAAAAATGAAAACTTGTAAAGACTGTATCTTGAATCGGATTTCACCTGCTCAGGGGAAACATGAGCTGCAAATCCATTGATAAGGTGTTTGTAGCTGTAAAGCTTCTTGTATGATCCTTCCTCAAAGAGCATTCCAAGAAGCATATCATGCTTCCTCTCTAGGTGACGAGCGTAGGATGTCACCAGTTCACTGCCACAAAAGGTAACAGATTGTGATCTTTGCCAAAGCTAAGGAAACTGAAGAAATCATCAAATCCTACTAACAAAAATCCAAACTTTTCTCTCTGCTCTATGTTGTAATCATTAAACCAAATAAAGCGTTTGGTTACTCAGCTGTCAATACCTTGTAGTATCGATTTTCTCATCAGACTCCACAGCGGTTGCTTCAAAACCATTATCACCACCTTTGTAACTGATGATTGGATCTCCTTCCATAGTCACAATGTAAATCTCTGCTGTCACAGTGAAGAAGAATGCGAAAAAGACTAGAACTTTACACCAAAAATCCATCTTGCTTCTCATCAAAGAAGCACCAGCTGAATTCGGTTATAGACTAATCTGCAGGATCAAAAATCCAATAAACACTGATCAGTTAAATTCACACACTTCTCAGAGCTTTAGGAAATGGTTTGGTATCTTTCACAGGTAAAAGACGAAATTTAAAATCTGAAAGAGAAAGAGAGTCATAATTTATGAGGAACCAAGCACATGAAGAAAGGCTACTCTCAATTAATTCCAAGATAGAGACTTTGGGGATACCTCAAATCAATCTACTTGAAAGACAGATACCGTAGATTGGTAAAAATCCAATTTTTTCTAAGATAAATTTACCTAAACATATCAACCAATAAAGAAAGTGTCACCTCCAATTTATCCCATTTATGTAAAGTTTGAAGACGATACAGTAACTACAGTAGCAAATGTTCTAATCAATCAGTGAGCCAACTAGAGAACAAAAAAAAAAGAGAGAGAGAGAGAAATTAATTTGAAATATGAAGAAATCAACACACTTTCACAAATCGTCCAAGGCAATAAGCAATAAGCAAGAACAAACCCAGAAACCACAACTACAGAAAGAAGAAAAAAGTCTGCATTTATCTTCCCCCAAAAAAAGAGAAGATCTTCTTAATTTGAAGCTTGAATGGAATAAAGCCAAAAAGTAAAAGTAGAAAATTGATCAAGGGAACTAACTTACTCCGATTCACGGAACGAATCAAGCAGGAAAGTGAAGCAAATTTGAGACCAGACTGTGAGATTACGGTTAACTCAAACCGAAACGCGAGATAGATAACAATCTCAACAAGATTGATAAATGAGAAACTTGGATTCAGAGTTTTCTATGTGTTCTTTTGAAGAATGGAGATCTTGCAAAAGATCAGAAGAAGGAAAAGCAGAGAGATAAATGTGAAGATGGAAATGTAAGTGAGAAGTTATTAGGAGTGTGCTTTTGAGTGAGAGAGGAGAGAGAGTGTCTGAGTGTGTGTGTGTGTGTGTTTGTTTGTGGGATTAGAGATTTATTAGGGTTTTATTGTTTTCGTAATTGTAATTATGTTTTCAATGCGAAGGAGACAATAAGCCGTGGACAATGGAACCTTTCACATTTGTAACTTTTTAATGAGATAATATGTCATTACGTTTTTAATAATTTTAGTGACGTTGCATGTAGAGTAAAATATAAACAACATACATGTTGCACAATATAGTAGGAATTTACCACAATATACTAGGTTGGTGTAAAGTATGAAAATCTAACTAAATAGTAGTATTATATTCAGTGAATCTCTAGCTAAAAATTGAATACAGATTAATGATGATGACAAAAAAACAAAAATGTATTAGTACTGATTCTATTTTCATGTTATCTTTTTCTTTTTTTGCTAAATAAACTTTCATGCTATCTTTAGTAAGTAGAAAACATAAAATAAATCAATTTTGATAGCATACTAGGAACCTTTTGGTGCTGGAGGAAAGTCTTCTAAAACACAAGGTTAATTACATAAGTATAAGAAACTGCCAAGGGAAAACAAACTTGAGAACCATACATTTTCATGAAACTACTACAATGACCATTTATCTGACAAGTGAGAAAGTGACAATGGCAGATGGGCTGTAGATATTTAACTTGACTATTTGAGTGTATATAATTATATATCAGAGTGTATATAATTATATATCACTCAAAGTTGCGGTGTATTTATTATTATTATGAGATGTCAGAAAGTTAGGAAGAGAAATCAAAATGTGCAGAGAGAGACCACAAGAGCGCGACATTTCTTGACTGGTGGCGACGATATTTACAATAGTACCCGCCTCCGAGCAAAGCATATTTGGAAAACACATGGCTAAGGAAAATGTGTCACTGAATGTCGATTTCTTATTTTCTAAGGAATTTTTTTGGTTGTAGATGAAAAATACAGAAGTGTTAAAGTCCAAGGAGTGAGAGAAAAGATAGTTGACTTAATTGATGAAAGGTAAAGAAAAGTAGAAAACTAGTAAAAAGTTAAAAATATTAAAATTCATATAATCCGAGGGACATAAAGCAATGTTAAATGATGTTTGATTAGAATTCATGTTTCAATCATAAAACGCGCTTTTCTTCTAAAAGCATTATGAACACAGTTAACAGCACTTGATTGTGGTTTTTCTTTTTGGATTACAGAATCTTTCAGTACTCCATAAGAAATACTATTACGCTATATGGAATCATCATGACGAGAAATGGGTTATTAGTTGTAATGGAATCAAGACAATAACAACAAAAATTCGTAAGAGAATGATCACATATGTTACGGTGCTTCTTGGATTATAGGTTCGAAAACACTTTAGTATACATATATATTTTACTGGCTATGGACTTTTTAGATTTAGTCATTTAGATACACCATTATTTGAGAATATGAAGATAATTGTAGTAGAATGAAGTAGTTGGAGGTATATGTGGTCGTATAAAGTTGACATCCAAAGGCACATGTGAGGGATTGTTTCCAGGAGATATGTCGTTTAGTCGAAACACATCATGTGTCATGTTACCTTTCTTCTTGTCCAAAAATTTGATTCCTCTTGCACCAACCAAATAAACTTCCCACCTCTTCTGACTAACTATTATCTATTGTCTCTTTTTTTTTTTTTTTTGTAAACATGTCACGAGTTTATGCTATTTGAGGTACCAATTTAAGCCAAGCTTACTATATATGGATTTGTTTACCGGCATTAGCAAGTAAATAGAGGTATTTTATTTGTGTTTGCCCTTTGATTATGGAAATCCTTGTTGATTATTATCAAAGAAACGTTTGGTCAAAAGAGACAGAATAAAATAAAATGGCTATGTGCGAAATCGTGACAACTTACTTTTCGTGAGTCTACATAACAATTAATTATTCATATAGGTGTAACGACAAAAATGCTATTAAATTTAGTATTTATTTCATATACACACATTTGAGCTATCGACTATCGAGTATCATTTGCTTGACATAATTACATATAGTAGGTGTACCTATGCAACACTTACACTCGTATCATATTCATAAACTGTTTGTTAAAAATAGATAACCATGAATAGAGTAACTCCATACTCTTTGGCTTTCTCGTGAAGATTTCCCACAGAAAAACTATCGTGATGTATAGTATTAGTAGCTAATAGCTTAACAATAGATGTCATCATGAAGAGAAAGGAAGAGAAGCTTTGGCTTCCCTGTGAAGATATCACCATATATGACATTACTTTCAAAAGAGATTTCGACTATGTTTTTTGAACTTTTGAGTATAAAATACAACTTCTCTAAATTTAAACCATATTAAAATGAAAAAGAAAAACAACAGACCAAATTCTTTTCAAAAGTGAAAGAGGTATTTGAAATTCAAAACCGAAACCAATCCATGCTGGATTCGATTTTAGTTTACAGTTTTTGTAAAATCGGAAACGAAAAAACCACACAAGAAACACGATTACACATCAGACCCGAAACACGAGAAATAACCTTGGCAAGAAGAATTTGTAAATGAGTCTAACATACACAAGAAGAAACATTGTGGTTATGCGTGCGAATTGCGACCTTTTTCATGGTAACAAACTAAATGTCCGACTTAAGCCCTAGCTCAAATTGACTCGTATCTGTTACAGAACAAGCCTAAATCATAAGTCCAAAGAAGATCTTGCTGCCAAAATAAGAAGGCATTCGACTATTGCAATTGAAGGAAATGGGTAACAAGACGGTCAAGAATTTCAACGATGTGTTAGAACTTGAACAATTTTCTGAGTTTTTCAAATAGACAGGAGTAGTCGATTATACATTAACTACTTCTGCTCGATGCAAGGATCAACTATGTCAAACTGAAACACCAAAACTTTGATAAAAACAAATGCTGAAAACCACAGCTTTCTCACGAGAAGAACAAAACAGTTTCATTCATTATTCATGGATATCATGATGCTTTTAATTATTGCCTATGGAGTGCAATTCAAAAGAAAAGTTTTCCTTTTGGTTAACAAATATCCAGGAAATTCAAGAAAAGAAATAATAAAAACATACAATCTTTGATTCGTCACCATCGCAGAAAGATTTCACATCAACCCCTGCACATTCATAAACAGGTAACAAGAGCAACACTCATCAGAAACTGATACTTCATATAATCAATATCGAAAGCTTAGAGCAAGCAAAAATATCACTTCATATACAGAATCCAACCATATAACAATAAGTAATCAATGTGATATGATACTAGAACTGCCCAAGAGCCTAAAATCAATTAACCATCTGAAAGCAGACAAAACTATTTTAGAGGAATTCAGAAAAATGAAGTCTTTCACAGTTTTGCTACACATCCAATCATACATTAACGACCAAACTGCTTATAAGAACGACAGATGAATCCTTTCCAATCGAAAAACCAAAACCAAATCTCTTCTCAAACCAATCGACTGAAACATTTTCTTCAAAAATGATGCAAAATTAGTATTTATGAAAAAAATGTTTCAGTTAATTTGGGGATTTGTATTTGTGAGCCGATCGAGTCCAAGCATTTTCCAAATGACTTTGGACTCGATCAATTCACAAATACAAATCCCCAAATCAACCAAAGCCGTATAAACGAAATCTCAATAGACAAAATGAAATACATTTATCACAAAATCAAAGCCACACAATAATCGATTAGGATCGAATCTCACAATACCTAAAATTGCATCGAGAGATCGAAAAACGAATCCTCCAGATCAGTGGCCACCGTGCTCCTTAGCATGCTGCTGGTGCTCGAGATGGCGACGCTCATTGGGGAGAGCGACGAGGTAAGAGAAGGCCATGCCGTAGAAGCAGATGTGAAGGAGAGGATCGACGGAGCTGGTCTGGATGTATTTGTCGTTGTAGTTATCGAGACTTTTCTTCACGGAGGTCTTAATGGTCTCCACTGAAAACGTCGATTTGATGTACCCTGGAATCTCCTTCACCTTCTTCCCCTTGATCTCACTGTATACCCTCCTCATCGCCATTTTCGATCTTCGGTCTGGATTTGTTGCGCGACGAGATAGAAAAATGGCTCTTTTAACCCTAATCCACGAATTGGGGATCGAGAAAGGACTTTTGGTAGCTGAAACTAAAACCAGAGAACGACAATTTCTTTTATATTTAAAAATCAAGGTGGATACTCCGGGTTCGGTTTGGTATTTGTTTTGATTTAGTTCGGTTTTCGTTCAGATTACATTTGGGCATAAAGAAGGTAATCCAAATTGGTTTGTTTCCTTTTTTCACTCGATTCGATTTGATTTGGCTCGGAACTATAAAAACCGGTGATAACCGCTAATTTCAATTATGTTTCCTTCTCCGGGTTTTTCTGGTTATTCTCTACACGGGTCGGGTCTAGCTCTGTTCAGAAAGTCGGATCCCAATTGGTACCCGTTTCACCTGCAATCGCCATCCTCATCAGTCGTTAGATTTCAGTTTTCTCTTCTCCAAAAATGGCTCGTTTGCTGTCACAAACCTTAATCCACACCGGAAGATTCCTTCTCCGCCGCTTCTCAGAACCGCCACCGGCGGTTTCTCTGTCACTGAGTCGCGTCTGCTTCCACCGTCACTATTCGTCGAAGTCCCTTTCTCTCGTTTCTCCACTTGGATCTCCCTCTTCTTCTCTCTTCACCCCTCCAGGTACCTGCTACTGAACTAATCAGCTACCATTTCCCTTCATTGTAGATGAAATTTCAATACTTTCGTCCCGATTGCAGCTGAATGTGGTAGCAAAATGATTGATTTCACTGCTGATTTGGTTCGTATTGTGGCAGCATTATGTAAATTCTCCGCTTTCTCATCTTCCGCAACAACGATCGAAGTTCAATCTACAGAGCATGAAGTGGTGATTGCTTTAGGAAGCAACATCGGAAACCGGATGAACAATTTCAGAGAAGCTCTCCGATTGATGAAGCTTAGCGGCATTTCCGTAACCAGGCACAGCTGCTTATACGAAACAGCTCCCGTTCACATCACAGACCAACCCAAATTTCTCAACGCTGCAGTGAGAGGCGTCACCAAGCTCGGACCTCACGAGCTATTAACCGTTCTCAAAACCATCGAGAAAGACATGGGACGTGAAGACGGTATACGTTACGGACCAAGACCACTCGACTTAGACATATTGTTCTATGGAAATCTGAGGGTAAACTCTGAGAATCTAATCATACCACATGAGAGACTCTGGGAGAGATCATTTGTGTTAGCTCCTTTGGTTGATCTGCTTGGAACAAACGTTGATAACGACACAGTTGCGCATTGGCACTCGCTGGCTTTACATCCAGGAGGGATTCTCCAAGCGTGGGAGAGGTTAGGTGGAGAGTCACTGATTGGTCAAGATGGTGTGAAGAGAGTTTTACCAATAGGAGATAAGCTTTGGGATTTCACTAGCAGAACTCATGTGATGGGTATACTTAACCTTACACCTGATAGCTTCAGTGATGGAGGACAGTTTCAGTCGATAGACTCTGCGGTTTCTAGGGTTCGTTTGATGGTTTCTGAAGGTGCTGATATAATTGATATCGGAGCACAGTCCACTAGGCCAATGGCGTCGAGGATTTCTTGTCAAGAAGAGCTGGAGCGGCTGATTCCGGTTTTGGAGGCTGTTCGTGGTATGCCGGAGATGGAGGAGAAGCTTATATCTGTGGACACTTTTAACTCCGAGGTTGCTTTGGAGGCAGTAAGCAATGGAGCTGATATTCTGAATGATGTGTCTGCGGGAAGGTTAGACCCGAACATGCATAAGGTTGTTGCGGAGTCTGGTGTTCCTTATATGGCTATGCACATGAGAGGAGATCCATGTACAATGCAGAACGAGGAGAATCTGCAGTACGGTGATGTGTGCAAGGATGTTGCTTCTGAGCTTTACATGAGGGTAAGAGACGCGGAGATCTCTGGGATTCCTGCTTGGAGGGTTATGATTGATCCGGGGATCGGGTTTTCGAAGAGGGTAGATCATAATCTTGATGTTATTATGGATCTGGGGAAGATCAGGGAAGAGATTGGTAAGAGAAGCATAGGAGTGTCTCATGCGCCTGTACTTATAGGACCTTCGAGGAAGAGGTTCTTGGGAGATATTTGTGGTCGTCCTGAGGCTGCTGAGAGGGATGCTGCAACTGTTGCTTCAGTTACTGCAGGGGTTTTGGGAGGTGCTAATATCATTAGAGTTCATAATGTTAGAGATAATGCTGACGCAGCGAAGGTGTGTGACGCAATGCTGAGAAGGAGACGGTCTAAAGGATGATTAATGGATATAGTTATATAAGCCTAAGTTAAGGATCTTTTCCAGTTTGATAAAACAGTTTTGCTAACTGGGTACTAGTGAAGAACAAAATGCTGAGTTTAGGCACCGTTTCTGCTTTGATCTTGTGTGGCTGGTGTAGAACTGAGCAATATTTTGAGTATGTTGGAGTGATCAGTGAAATGAGCCAGCATTTGTATCGCAGACAAGGTTTCATGTGTTGTTCCAGTGAACTATTCTTGGGAAGGTCTTGGATGACTCCAGTGAACGTCTCCAAGACTCATTTCTCCGCAAGTATTTTCACAATTTTCACAAATGCTCTGTTTTCCTCTGTTACGCTGTGTTCTTTTGTTAAAATCTTAAATTTGTAGAACATTCATAATCAGCCATGAGTAGCTATGTTAAATTGCACTTACTTATTAGAAATATTTCTAGCCAAACAAAAAACTACAAACTGTTTCTTTTACATGATCTAAATGCTTGTGCATTATTCAACTAACTATATATGAATTTTCATGATTCAACTACTCCACAGTCTCCACCCTAGATATTCATATGAATATTTACTATAAAATTGTAACCCAACGAAACACTTCTCTTACAAGACTCAACACTCACAAGAGGTAGTTTTCAATCCCCATCTTTTCTTGACCTAAAGAAATTTAGGGTTTTATCATTTCTTCCATGCCAAGCACCAAGAACCTCCCTCTCCTCCTTATCATGATCATCATCATCATGGCTACATCCTCCACTTTGCTTCCATCACTTACGGAGGAGCAAAACCAAATCGCAGCAAAAATCATAGACGCAATGATCTCTGGCGGAAGTTTCGACGATTGGAGCGAAGCTTTCCTCGCCACAAACGACGAGATAAACGGTCCAATACTCAATTCCACTCTCTTCCTCCCCAAAAACTCCGTCGAAGGAATCAACGCCACGTCACCACAGGTTGCTTCTTACCACATCGTTCCACAATGCCTTGACTTCTCCGACATAAGCCTAATGAAGCCTTTCTCTCGCCTCCCCACGCTTCTCTCTGGAAACTCCATCGTCTTGACCAACAATTCAGCTTCCGGTTTTGCCCTCGATAGCGTTCTCATCTCCGAGCCAGATCTCTTCGTCTCTTCTTCCATTGTTATCCATCGAATCGCTTCCCCATTTAACTTCTCTCGTTATGGTGGTGGCAATATGTAGTTACTATAAGTGGCTTTTTTTGTTTCTTTCTATTTTTGTACTTTTTAAACGTTTTACTTGGTATTGTTTTGAGAAACATAAGGTTTGACGCCAAAATCAGGATTGCTTTAATGAAATTGTTGTGACAAAAGTTTAACATGAACTCTCAATCCATAAGTCACCATGAATTATTTCAAATCCAATATCAAAGTAACAAGCTTCCAGTACTTATATTTGCTTATATCGCACGTTTGAGCTTTTACAGTATGAGAGACTTCAATTAAGGTTTCTGTTTAAGTGGATATAAATATCTCTGTAATATGCAAAGAACCAAGAATTAGTCACAGTGATTCTTAAAAATTATTAAAAGATTTACATAAAAGATATTTACTTAGATTGAAAAGGCAAAAATCATTTGGTTAACCAAACCAATTTTCAATATTAATTGTTTTTTATACAAATTTTCTTATTTGTAGTCAGATTTTCGGGTTAGTGGAAAGTTATACTGAATTCGAGTTGGATTGATGATTTGGTGGCAATTATTAGTAATTGTTTGACAAATTATATCTGTTATGGATAAGTTTTCTGTATGATTTTATTATTAGGTCCAAAGTTGCGATCTTTGTAGAGATAAAGGAGTTTCTGTGTACTACTATAAGTATTGGGACCTGTCAAAACGCAACAAAAATGTTTAAAAGTTCTAACTCGAACACATATAATTATGCTCAGTTGATGCACAAAAAACTCTAATGCTTCATCGAAATTTATAATCTCAATCATTTATCGTCTCTCATGGAAACTTAGAAACATTTACAAATTTTATAAGAACACACCCAAAAACAAATCATTTGTAATACTCGTTTTGTTTCATTTCGACGAAGCTCAGAGGTAAGTTTTGTTTCAATTTTCTTTTCTATTTCTTCTTTGGTCGTTTTTGTTTTCACAATTCCGCCGATGTTGACTATGAGCTTAAATAAAGCTCGGCCGTGAGTTAACTTATTATTTTCTGCATCAAAATCAAATAAAACAAGTTTCTATTTGTAAAATAATAAAAAAATGATAAATTTTGGTATAATTTTTTTTAAAAATTAAACAAGTTAATATAAAATAATTAAATTTATATATTTAGAATGAGAAAAGAAATCTGAAATTGTTTTAAGAAATAATAATATCTCTTCTTATGATTGGGCACATGGCGTTGGTGATCTGTTTTTCTTTGTATTCAATTAGTTAAAAGTATTCAATTATGTTTAATCCACATCATTTTTTCATGATTCAACAACTTCAACACCCCCATAGTATTCATTAAACTGTTGAATATTCATCCCCTGCACATCTTTCTTTAATACTATCATTGCACATCTTTCTTTAATAGTACAAACAATTATTGTTACTAATATGAAATTTAAAAAAAAAACAAAAATATGAGATAAAACTAGTGGGTAGTGCTTGAATATTATTAAACAAAATTATTATAATTATAATGTTTAAAATTTAGAATTGTGTTGAATTATTATGTGAAAAATAGAGAATATAGAGTATTAAAAAGTGAAAGAGAAAATGTTGATACACTATAGTTTTAAAAACAAAGTTAAAAAAATGGTGACGTGTCGAAATGTTAGTGGAGGAGCAAACGTAATTCACCTCTTCAAGCGAAAAATCATCAGACTTTCAGAACGAAGGGGAATAACAATTTGGCGGATTCAAAACAAAGAGATTCAGAGAAATTGATAGAGATTCTGATCCCGTAAAGTGTAATCCCTAGGAGAAATGGCGGAAGAACCAGAGAAGGTGTCTTCTTCATCGCTACAGCAACCTTCCGGCGATAAGAAACCTCAGGTCTGTGACTTACTTCGTTAATCATCTTCAAAAATTCGATTGCTGAGTATCGTTTCCGATCTAGTAGTAGTTGCCCCGTTTGATTCTTCGTCTTCGTTGATGTTTTGCGTCATTTGATTTGGATTTAGTGATCATCAGTAAATTCCCCCCTTTCTCTAAGATCATTTTAAGGGTTTGTTTGTGAATTGACTCACGATTGGATCTCTGGGTGTTTCATTTTCCAGGATCCAGCGGCGTCTTCTGGGTATGGAGCTCATCCCAATGGTGATTCTCCAATGTACCCGGCGTTTTATCCGGCTCTTGTTCCTGGACACTACGAGGAACACATGAATCGTGGAGCTGGCATTTATGCAGTTCCTTTGCATCAATCTGCAGGACATATCGCTGGTCTTCCTTCAAACTACCTTATCCCTCTCACTTACAATGTTCCCACGTAAGTAATTCCTTCGAATTTAGCTTCTTAGTGTAACAGCCTTTTCGTGCTGGTGAGGAATCATATTCATAGGTATCTGATTTAGCTAAGGGAATTAAGAAGTTGGTCTTTTTGCTCATGGGCTAGGGATTTGAATCCATACCATTTGATTTGGTCAAATTACTGATTGTTGCAGCTTCAGATGAGTTCGATGTCAAAGAAAAACTGTAGGTTTGATATTGGATCATTTTATGGTTTGATATTTTGCTTAGGACTAGGCCAAGTAATGAGGCTGAGAATGGGGGAGAGAACCAAGCGCAAGCCGGTCAAGGTCAGCAACAGCAGCAACCTGCAAATCAAAGGCAAGTGGTGGTCAGGAGGTTTGAGATCGCGTTTCAGCTCGATATTTTCCTCATACTCAAGCTTGCTGCTGTCATCTTTCTGTTCAACCAAGACGGTTCAAGACAGAGGCTCGCTGTTCTTGTGGTTTTCGCTACCATAATCTACTTGTAAGCCTCTGAGAATCTGCTTTATTCTCAATCTTTCTGCTTGTAAAATGACCTCTCAGATTCGTAAAAATGTTGATCTCTTTGTCTTTTGTGTTGGAAACTTGAACAGATACCAAACTGGAGCACTTGCACCGTTTGTGCGATGGCTCTCACAAGGTATGCATAGAGCAGCAGTACCACCAAGACCTCCTCATCGAGCTGCTGCAAGAGCTGAGAATGATCCCGCAGCGGCAGTGCCACTAAACGAAGATGCAGCTCCCGGTAAATATTACTTTGCAATATCTCTCTCTAATGTATTAACTGAAGCCATCACAGCAACAACTTATGCAGAAGCGATTTTTTTTTGTGTGCAGAGGGACAAGAGAATGAAGCTGATAACGGGAACCGAGCAAACGCAAATGAAAATGTTGGTGCTGGACAGCAAGGGAACCAATGGTGGGGAATAGTGAAAGAGATTCAGATGATAGTTTTTGGCTTCATAACTTCACTACTCCCTGGCTTCCACAACATTGAATAGACTCTTTTTTTTTCTGCAGAACTCTCATCTTACTATGTTCTACTATAGGCTTCGTTGATCTCATATGTGTGAAAGTACAGAAAATGCTACTCTTAAAGACTCAAATCTTCAACAAGTTAATGTATGTGAGCTTGTTAGTTTCATGCTTTTGACTTTTTATTGTTCAAAGTAGAGGAACTCGTAAATCTGAAATCATGTTTTGTTTATATTATCTTTATCCATCACCTCAAAAACTAAATCAATTTGGGTTTCTCTATAGCAAAATGTCTATAGCAAAATTCAGCAGAGATAATTAGATCAGGTGAGAAACCACATGTTCTCAAAATCAATTAATTAATCGTGTAATGACAAAGCATAATGATTTTTGTATGTATCTCACTTTTTCTGTTGCTCACAATCTCACTCACGTTTCTTTTTGGTTTGCGGGAACGATTAATGATTTTTGGTTTGCGGGAACGATTTTGATGTTCTGTTATGTTATTGACTTATTGTCATCAATTGAATGTTAATTAACAAGAAACATAGAAAACTCAAAAGGTTTCGACTTTCAGAGCATTTTTGTACAAAACTGGCTCCAAAGAATTTTGCTTGACAGAAAATATCAAACTGATCATGCGCCTGAACATGTACTCGTTCTTGCTGGAAAACCAATTCAATCACCTGAACATATGGTCACACTCATCATAATATTTAATTTTTTATTTTTGTTTGGATGAAAACAAAAGAAAATCAAAAACAAAACTGGAGTAGTGAGTGAAACCCAAAGAGTGCGGTGAGCTGACGCAAGGAGGTGGAAATCTTTGCGGCTTGTGAATCCTCCGTAGCTTTCAACGATGAAGGATCATCAAAATGATCTTTCACCTAAAAACATTTTGCTTTTCATTTAAATTAAATAATTATTACACGAGGACAAAACAAAAATAATGTTTTGAGAAACAAGGCGTTTGTGCCGTTTTCCCCGAAGGAATTTTAGCTTTTATCGCTTAATGGCTTTTTTGTGTCTTTTTATTGGCTGATTGGCTGAAGAACCTTATATTAATCCGTTTTGCTTTTGATTTTTGCTTGTGTGCGTGTCTTAATATCCCTATTAATTAATTATTTGTCACGAATCACATCACGATTTCCCTCTCTCTCCAAAACAATAACTGAAATAAACTTTCCTGCCCCATTCAATTTAATACCACTCCTATGTGATATTTTATTTTAAAATTGAATAGTATATGTTTTTGCTGCACTCTATATGAAAATGATGATGTAACTAGAAATATGAAACGCGTAGATTTCACATTGTTGACAAATAAAAAAAGAAGTAAATTTAACATTTTTCCAGTAAATGAGGGAGAGAAATTTGGTGATAGTTTGATATCCTTTTTTGGGAAAATTGGATTTAAAGGACGTTTCATATCTATGTTTGGTAATCTACACCTTTTAGTATTTTGTTCATTTTTTGACTAAATTAGCCTTATCTAAATTATTATAATAATCAAATCATTTTTTAAAAATTCAGTGAAATGTGAAAAAATATATAAAAAACTGAAAACACCATAGTAACATTTTTATAATTTTAAGTGTAACAACAAAAATTGAAAAAAAAAATATTTACTTATCGTTCTAAATTTTTTAGAATCCGCATTCTACGTTCTAATTTTTTTAGAAAATGAATTCTAATGTTTCAACATATTCTAAATACTCTAGAATGCATATTCTAAAATTTGTACATATTCTAAATATTTTAGAATGCGCATTCTACGTTCTAAAAGTTTTAGAATATGAATTCTAAAGTTTGAACATATTCTAAAAGTTTTAGAATGCATGTTCTAAAATTTGTACATATTCTAAACTTTTTAGAATGCGTATTCTCCCTTCTAAAATTTTCAGAATCCGTGTTCTAAAGTCTGTACATATTCTAAAACTTTTAGAATGCGTCTTCTTTGATTTTAAGAATGCAAATTCTAGAGATTACACATGTTCTAAAAACTCTAGAATGCACCTTCTATGTCACTAGATTCTAAAAATAAAAGAAAATCAATATTAGGAAACGAAATCTCCAAAAAATCTGTCAAAATATCTCCATTCTTTTCCCATTTCCTCCATCGTCATCTCCTTCTTTTCTCATTCCCTCCTTCTCATCACGTTTCTTTTGAACTGAACATCTCTTTTTTCTGCTCAAATTCTCTTCCCTTTTCACAGCTGGTAAGCAACTGTTTGCTTCTTTGTATTTTTCTTACAGTTTTGTTCGAATATGTTGTATGATATGGTTTGTACTATCGTCTAATTTCTAAACGTTGTTGGCAAATTCGTGTTGTTAAAATCAACACAGATCAATCGGTTCCAAATCCAGACCGATCGGTTCATTGTTGGCCTAAAACTCTATAGTCTACGATCGATCGGCCCCTTTCGTAATTCGTGTTGCTGCTTTCTTGTGTGTCACAGGTTAAAATGGTACAAATATACGCATGTTCTGGAGTATGGAAATCATTTCAGGACAAAGAATGGAGATTTGTTGCCGACAAAGGAAATTGTGGCATAGTGCTTACTTTGGAATCCACTACTACTGTTGAGAAACTTAAGATGATGGTATGCGAAGACTACAGTGTAGATGTTGGTTTTGTTGCCGTGGAGTTAAGTTATTTACCCAGTGACCTCGTCAGTAACTTGGAATCTCCGCCAGTAGTCATAAGAAATGATCGGCAATTGAGAAATTTTGTGGAGTATCAAAGAGAGAAGGCTACGGTAACCCTGTGTGTGACGTTCAAACCTATACTTAAGGAGCCACCAGATTCAAGTGACAAGGAAGATGAACTGAATTTGCCAAAGAAAGCGGAAGAATGCCGGTATAAGGGTAAACGGACTGTTGATGCAACCAGCAAACGGTTTCGCGGAGAACATAGTGGTAGTGAAGATGGCATAGTGTCTGAAGATATTGGCAAGAGTGGAAAGAGTGGAAAGAGTGGAAAGAGGGGAAATTTGGAAGGCTATGTTAAGAAACATGAACAGTTTGATAGCAAAGACCGTTTGAGGGCAACTATGGAAATTTGTGCCATGAAGTATAATTTCGATTACAAGGTGACCAAGTCCGATACGAAATTTTGGTGTATTCGTTGTAAAGATAAGGTTTGCAAATGGAGTCTTCGTGCTGAATGTGTAGAGGGGTCTACGGTCTTTAAAATCAACAAGTATGTTGGAAAACATACATGTGCTCCATCAAACAAAAGCACATTCTCTAAGACAGCTTCAGCAAAAACGATTGGAGATCTTATTATGCACAAATATGTAGGTGTGAAAGATGGACCTAAACCGAATGATATCATGAGTATTATGCGTACAGAGCATGGGTGCGAGATCTCTTATAATCAAGCGTGGGAGTCCCGTGAGTATGCGATTAGCAGTGTTAGAGGTCTTCCAGAGAAGAGTTTTCATAAAGTTCCTAAATATTTGCACATGCTACAACAAGCAAATCCTGGTACACATACCAATTACCAAACTGATTCTCGCGGCAGATTCCTGTACCTGTTCCTTGCTTTTGGTCAATCAGTAAGAGGGTTCTACAAGACCATGCGAAGGGTGATTGTAGTAGACGGAACGTTTCTGAAGAGCAAATACAAAGGAACTATGCTTGTCGCTACAGCTGTAGACGGTAATTCTAATTTGTATCCAATTGCATTTGGTGTTGTTGATTCAGAGAATGATCTCTCTTGGGAGTGGTTTTTTAGGCAGTTGAAGGTTGTTGTAGGTGATGAGGAAGGCTTGGCTTTTGTATCTGATAGACATGTTTCAATAGCTCCTTCACTGGCTAAAGTATATCCATTGGCTTCAAAGGGAATTTGCATCCACCATTTGTTGAGTAATATGCAAAAAGTTTGTCATGATAAGGGTATGTTGGCTTTGATTGAGAAGGCGTCAAAAGCTTATAGAGTTGTTGATTTTGAGAGGCGTTTCAACCGAGTTTGCAATATTAGTCCGGTAATTGGAAATGCTCTAAGGGAAGCCGATGTGAGAAAATGGGCTCGTTGTCTGTTTCCAGGTTTCAGGTACGACATTAGAACCACGAACCCTGCGGAGTCGATAAACTCTGCACTGAGAACACCTAGAGAGTATCCGATCATTCCTTTGCTCGACAGCATCAGAGAAATGATGACACGGTGGTTTTATGAACGCAGAGGCAAGAGTTCAAAACACCAGCTCCCATTAACTGATAAAATTGAGAAGAAGATTGAGAGAAGGACAGAGAAAGCTAAGACTTTGGTTGCTTTTCCAGTTACCAACCACATATTCCAGATCAAAGGCGACTTATTCGACTGCGTTGTTGACTTGCAGAGAAGAACATGTACATGTGCGAAGTTTGATTTATGCAGAATTCCATGTAGACACGCGATCAAAGCAGCTTACACTAGAAACATTCAATCTTACACACTCGCAGATGGTATATATAGCACTGCTGCATGGAGAATGGCTTACGCAGAAAGCATTAATCCTATATCTGTTCCTGAAGATGAATGGTGTGTCCCAAAAGATGTTGAAGATGCAAAAGTGTTTCCACCCAAGACAAAGCGGAGATCTGGCAGACGAAAGAAGAGAAGGTTTGATTCACTTGAAGACAAGATTAGATCATCACAAGGATCTCAAGGATCTAAAAGACAGAAGCGCAGGCACAAGTGCAGCCGTTGTGGTAATGAAGGTCATAACAGAGCTACATGTGATATACCCATATAACTACATGTTGTTTATGTGCTATAGTTCGAGTTTGGTTATCTTAATACTTGGTTTTCTTTTTGTTGATTTGAAGTCATTGCTATTTTTTGTATCAAGACTAGTGCATTGGCACTTCTCTTCTATTCCCTCTATTTTTGGTGGTTTGAACTCACTTTCTGTTATTTTTTTCTCCATAGCTGTTAACCGATTTGTTGTTTTGTTTTATCACCTTCGGGTAATCATGTTTCTTTGGTGTCGGCATACTCTAAATTAAGAACGGCCAATCGGTGTATATGCGGAACCGATCGGTTTGTACAATTTTGTATATGGATCATGGCGTTAAAGAGAAGAGGTAAATGATCAGGTAGAAGCAGAGACCAGAGAAAAACAGAGCTGGATAAGTAAAGCAGTGTTGATGAGGTGACTTTGGAGGCTTACTGTCGGCACACGAGATGTCCATTTCATGCACAGACGGTTTAGTCATATTCTAAATCAACCCAAGAGTTCATAGAAGTCAAGTCGGAACCCTAGTCCCACCGGAGGTGCATTTTACAAGCGTTGCTTCCTGGCCAAGAAATTGCTGAGAAACCTGCAATTTATTCTCAGGAAAACAGTGTGTGCGAAGCCTACTTTGGAAGACGATTCCAGCCGGAGAAAAATTATTTTGACCACGTTTGAGATGTCTATGGAAAGATAACATCTCGGAGAATTCACAGAAGATAACTTTTCATCATTTGGAGTTATAACGCATCCGCAAATTGCAATACAAGTTAGCACAAAATCATCCAAGTCTAAGATTAAAAGATTAAAAGACCAACAATGGAGAGAAACAGAGAAACTTGACTACTCGATTATTTCAAAAGACATTGATATATGAAATTGAAAGACCAAAAAAAAGCACACAAATAGAGTAACAAAGTAATGGAGAAAATAAAATCAATTAAAAAAGAAGGCAAGCAACAAAGATTTGTTAACTTCAATCGATCTCCACAGGTATGATATCGTCAAATTGTGAAGGCTTGTACTGCAACATTCGCTCTTGTAGAATAGGGTCAGTTGCAGCTTCACATAGATCACTAGCAATTTTCATCCTTGCCTCTCTAATGTTGCTATCATTTATTAACGACAAGTCCAATCCAAGCACCTGACACTCAATAAACTTGAGCGCATACGCTCCACAATCTTTTTTAGACTTATTAAGTCCGGGTTTCACTGGAGCGTTGATGATAGAATATGGAGTCAGAGTTAGTAGTTTAGCATCTGCACCTGGTTGAACTGCCTTGACGATACGAGGAATGAGGAATTTAAAGGCCTCCACGTTTTTTCTGTTGTCCACACCTGAACAGTCAAAGACATGAATTGTTCTTTGACTGAAGCTTATGCACAACGAAATCCAGTGACAATCTCCAATGTTTAACAGGGTGTAGATACGGTCTAGGTCAAGTGCCCATCTTTTTCTGGTTCTTCCATGCGAAGGAAGCTCACCGGTTCCGTAAGCTAGGAGAAACCTCGGCAGTTGATATTGTCGTTTATTTTCCAAAAACTTGTTGTATTCATTTGCGATTTGCATGCCGAACATACAGTTCATGAAACCTGCACGAGCGTCTTTCAATCGACCCAAAGTTGTCCTCTCCCGGAATATGTACATCATCGCATCCATATCCTGCAGAAACATATACAATTCTTAAACAAACTATCTACCACAACAATTTAAGACAAATAATGATTTAAAACGCACCTCAGTTCGAAACCATGATTTATGCCGCGCAAGTATACGATCCAGTAACTTAAACCTAAGAACAGTTGGGCCAAGCTGTAGCTTCCTGCAAAGAAATCAGCAAAATGTTATTCATATGCATGAAATATGAAATATAATAATGTTTGGAAAACAAGTGATACTTACCGGTTTTTTTTTTCTTCTTCTCCACTAGACCAATCTATCAAACGGGACCAACAATCTTCAGAAACATGCAACAATGGATAGTCTGCTCCATAGTCATTTCTGGTGATATTAGGTTCACTGTCAAAAGAAAGAGGATGATATGTTGATCGTCCACTATTAAGTGGTTGCAACCAATGCTCATCTTCCAATAATGGTATCTTTGAGTTCGGGCCATAATTTCTTCCTTGGGTAGCATCGAACCCGGTTACATGAGTATCTTGAGATAGGTGTCCCATTGTTTCTTGTAGAGAATCATGTCTATCCAAAGTGCGGTTTAGATCGAATGGCTGACTCAAAAGTATATCTTCTACGTTTGGAAAACAATGAGTAGGTTCTTTCTTCTTCGATGTTTGACTTGGAAAAACCTCATCCTCAATACTTACCCTCGCTTTTTTTTGAGAATTTGAGAAAGTGGAGACTTTTGAAGCTTGGAATCTCTCTGTGGTTCTTTTAGTTCCAACTGTAGAGAGTGACTCTTTAATTTGTGAAACACTATTCTCTAAGTTCATTAACCGCTCTTTAAAACTATTCTCTAGGTTCAGCAACCACTCATCAACACCCTTAAAGAAACCTTGAATGAAAGACTTCAAATCTTCATTAAAACCTCCATGATTTTCTCCTACTCGTTGGCAAAGTATTTTCTGTTTTCGTTTGATGGCTCCCTCATCAAAAATCTTTCTCTTAGCCCTCTTAGAACCAGAAACTGGAATGTCATCAGTAATTGGTTCCCCATTTTCGAGTTTCTCCTTGTTCTCTACTCCTTCCTCAAATGCATTTTTAATGGTTTCTACTGTTTCCACACTGCCCCAAACATGGTTTTCTAAACCGTTCCCCGATTGGATTACTGCTTTCAGATAATCAACCGTAGCATCTCTAGTTTCTTTAGGCCATGCAAAATCAGAAGACTCACACAAATCCAAACTTCCAGAAAAAGAGATGTACGGATAAATAACATCCTGGTTGAAAAAAGTAAAACAATGTAAGCATCAGTCTAAAGCTGATTGAAAATGTTTAAGGAAAAATAAATAAGAATTTTGTAAAGTCATACTCATAGTCATTTCGAAATTTTCCTCCAGAAAAATAATATCATCATAAAATGCTATTGCAGCTCCGGTCCAATTCGAACAGCGAGGACCTTCCGCGTATTCATCATTTAGTTTTTTCCCCAAGATGGATCCGATTTTGGGGATTGCTTCCATAACCCATATTTGAAATGCATAAGAAAAACCATTCAGAACATAGCTACCTTTTTTCTTCAAGCTACCTTGTACCTCTATGATGGAGTCAGCCAGCAACTCAAAAGCGTCAAGACCCCATGGATAAGACTGAACTTTACCAATATCCATTGCCAGCTTAATGTATTTGTGTGGGATTTCTTTTGTTTCATGCTTTGCCAATACCAATCCTGCAATTACACAGACATACACAAATCTGATTCTGTCTATATTATTCCACACCTTAACACGTGGAAGATGATTGTCAAGCAACATCTTGATGGAAATTTTGTCCTTGCGTTTCAGCAGTTTGCTCCAAAATCCATTATCATCTTTCCATTCCTCTGAATCCCTGATCCCATCCTCATCTTTATATTTGAGTCCTGTTACTGCATAAAACTCTTGAAGTGAAAATCGCAATGGCCTCCCTCCAAACACACACCATATCTCATATTTTTTCTCTGTAATCAATTGCCTACACATCATGCTATGTATCAGTCGAGCTGAATATCCCAAATTGTTTTCATGCAGTGCTATTATATTGGCAAAGACAGAATCATTCTTCAGTTCATTGTACTCTTCTGGCATGGCAGCCTTTATTTTGGTCAGAATTGACATTCTGCAACTGTTGTTTATCTTATCCACTTCTGGCTCATTTCCTGCAGCAAACAGACGTCTAGGAAACTCGTTCTCCATACCTATATTGAGTGGAAAATTAACAGAAGACGAGCCAGAGTTAGGCGAAAATCAGACGAAACGAACACTCTCAAACCGATCGTTAAGGGGAAAATAACAGTTTCATGAAACAAGTTTAATTATGAATGCAAAATCTTCACAAGAGTAGAATAAAATACCTTGAGTTAGGGTTAATCACACTTCTGCTAGAAGTGGAGTTAGGGCAATGGTGCAATCCGTGTTATTTGGTTAACGCCTCAACAAGTGAAGAAGAACGTAAAAACTTTTTCACATACAATAAACCCTAAATTTTATATATTTTGTTTATTAAATATATATTTAATGAAAAATTTATAGTTTTTGATTAGTTAGGGTATATTTGTACTTTAAGCTCATATAAAGACTAATCCCCCAAAGTAGAAAAAAAAAGGTGTAGATCACCAAACATACATACAAAACATCCTTTAATTCCAATTTTCCCATAAGTTAGTATTTCATCAATCTAGTAGTCTTTGTCGCATTGGGAGTACATTTTATTATTCAATTTATAGACACTACTAGATTGATGAAATACTAACTTATTCTATTTTAATTTTAATTTTAATTTTACAAGATTACGTCTTATGATGCGTGATGAGGAATTTAATTGTAATGCACCGATCCATCGAAATGGTCACCAAGGATTCATCAAAAGAGTTTCCTTGTTCATAGCATGCAACGACTACAAAAATAAAACTTTACTCTTTTGATTTTTGATTTGTATGCCCACATACAAAAGTATTATTGAGTGTTAATTAAAAAGAAACATAGAAAACTCAAAAGGTTTGACTTTCAGACCTTGTACAAAATTGGCTCCAAAGAATTTTGCTTGACAGAAAACATCAAACTGATCACGCACCTTGATAATAAGTTTTTTTTTCGTTTGGATGTTTTTCGCTTCTTATACTTTTGTTTTTCCTTAACTTTAGGATGTTTCTTCATCTTTTAAAGGCGTTTGCGTTAGCGTTAGCGTTTAGCTACAGAACGCATTCCAGCTCCTTTGCCACTCCACAAGACCAAATCGATCCATGTCAACCTTAACGCGTGAGACCCATGAAGTGTGCAAATCCATATTTCTTTATTGAAACTTTACTTAATTTCAGTGTCTAATACTCCAAATATTTTATTAAAAGGTTCGAATCAAAATTGCAGGGGTTGGTATTCAAAGCCGCTTCCTCCTCCCAGTGAAGTTAGTGAGGGGTTAAAGACAGCCAAAGCTTCAAGAGGAAGTTACCGGCGATTTCCACCGGTTCAGTATAAGAAAAAAGAATCAGCTCTTGTGCAAGGTATTAGTTATTTGGTCCTTTTGTAATCATCGAGATCGATTCATGTGTAAGAAATTTCATCCTTTCACTACTTCAAAATGCTGATTCCAGACTCTTGTTAACTTCAGTGGCTAGCTACTTCGGTGCATGTCTAATAGAATTAAAACGGCAATGTCTCTCCTTTTATTTTATTCACTATGACGCTGGAGGGATTTGTATCATTTTATCATTAGAGTTTGTAGATCAGTTTCTTGCCAAGTACGGATGGTCTGATGGATCTAAAACTCCAGCGGGACACATGATGATACTTTCACTTATGGGGAGAAAAGCCGGTAGCTTCGGTTACGCATCATCGTACTGAAGCTGAACTTTGTATTCTACCACGCCCTACTTTTCTCTTTCACTTGTGAGATGCCGTTTACTTTTTCGTGTGTTTTTCTTATGCCAAAACTTTGTTCCGAGTGTTCAAGTCTTTTCGAAGTGTAGTAAGCACAAAATAAGAATCCAATGTCCTATATATATACAGAGAGAGAGAGAGTAAAGCAAAAGAAGAATCGAAGGGATCCATCACATTTCCAACAAAAGATTACTAATTTTTCGAAGCTCTTTGAGAGCTGTCATGGCTGTGACTTGTCCCTTTCCGACCAAACTGGTCTTAGATATATTCTCCCTTAATCCTCCCTGAACATGTACCCTTTCTTGCTGGAAAACCGACTCCATCACCTGAACAACATATGGTCAAAATCATCAAAACCTTTGATTTGCTATCTTCATCTGAAAGAGCTCAGTAAATGAGAGCGAGTCTTTACCTGAATGTGTTCGAGCATAGAATTGCCAAGATTCTTCAAAGTATTCATCACATTCTGGTCTGTCTCTCCTCTGCTGCTCGAAGTTGAAGCCTGCGGAGGAGAATCAGACTCAGAGGAAGAAGAGCAAACCAAATCACTCTTACTACTTTCAACACCACTCGATCTTGCCTCCTCTCCAGTGAGATTACGTCCAAACTTCCAAAACCACTGGAACTTTCCCGGTACAACCTTACTACGCTCCTTGACAACGGCGTCCTCTTCGTCGTTAGACTGAGTTACCGGAAACTCAACACCCGGTTGAGAAGAAACCGGAAGCGGCGAATCAACTACGCTTGTTTCTTGATCTATAACTGTTTCTTGATTAAGAACCGAATCTACTACTACACTTGTTTCTTGTTCTTTAATAGGAAACAACAGACTCGTCTCTGTACTACTATCTGAATCATTCTCGATGTAGTTTGAATCTCTGAGAGGACTGTTCGAATCTGAGAAGACATCAGAAGAAATCTCCTCGATCACTAAACTCTCTTCACCACCACCAGCCTCAAAGTCTATAAGCCTCTCCTCTGCTTCTTGAACAGAACCATCTTCATTGTTCACCACAACATGTACTTCCTCAGCTTCCTCAGAAACAACCTGCCGGTTAAAATCCTCAAGCAAGTTACGTGCCACTGAAGCTACCTTGGCTTCACTTACTGTCTTGGCAACGCTGTTCGCTGGCTCAGACTCTGCTCTGAAGAGTCTCTTCACCTTGAACCATGACCTCTTCTTCTGCGTTGTAGGAGGAGTCTTCTTCTCTTCCTCTGCGGTTAAAACTCTCCATTTCTCCTCCCAGTAGCTCTGCGGAGCAATGATCAACGGAGATTTAGGCGAAGTGGAACCGGAAGGGAAGCTGTTAGTCCTCGCAGGTATCGCAGGACTGATGCTCTGATGATCAAAGACATCGTTTATCGACAATGCTGATGATCTCACATCATCATCCAAAGCCAAACCTTGTAACGACTTAGCTTTCTCAATAATCTTCCTCACATCAATCTTCTCCGAGAAGTTCAACAGCCTCTGGAGACAAGAAGCTGCGTTCTCAGTAGCGAGCAGAGAAGATCGCAAACACAAGATCATCGAAACCGCCATTCCTGAGATCAGCTCCTCTTGGAGAATCAAAGATGTTGAAGCTCTGGTTTGTATGATCCGTTGTTGTTCTCGCAGTTTTATCAGGTGAGAAGATCTCATCCCACACTATCAACAAATCTTGAAGCAAGAACTCTCTCCCAAACCAAACTCGTAGCCAACGAAGACCAAAGTACTGAGGCTAAACACCGAAGCTCCACCAAATGGCTATGCAGAGACGAATCAACGAACAATAAGAGATGGTAAAACGCAGTGCAAGCTTCAAGAACCGGAGGTAAACCTGTGTGATCCAATAGCTGGAGTGTAAGAGAAGAATCCAGCCATTGAGACACAACCGTGAGCTCCACTCATGAGAGCATCAAACATGCAGTAAGCGTCATGCTCCATGAACTTCTCCGACAAGACGATCCCGAGCTCTCCTTCTGCTCCGTAAGCATCGCTTAACATGACAATGGACTGGATTTCAGGATCAAGCTCATCTAGAGTCTTGATCTTCTTTGAGTTTCCTTGAATACCACCGATCTCATCGTCTGTGAAATCCTCTAAGAACTTCTTGAAGTCGAAGTTGTAAGTGATGTCTCTTTCTTCGAATGATAAGCCGTCGAATCTGTCATGAAATGATCTTCGTAACTTTTACGCACTTCAGAGAGACGATCAACATCCACATGAAGCACATAAAGCAACGGAGCCAAAAGCTCATGCATTCCTGCAAATAAACATGAAGTCAGATTATCCATTACAAAACTAAAGTTTACATTTTCAAAGACATAACACATGTTGTACCTTGTCGGTATCCGTACTCAGGATGTTTAAGGCACCACAAGAGTAGAATACGTCTTAACATTCCTTGACATCCAGGAGCTTGGAAGTAGCTCCAATGCTCTGGATACAATCTTGACAAGTCTTGATCCAATGTTTTCTCTAGCTCCGCGTTACGAAAGAATCGACCCCATGTACTATCTGCATTAGACATGGTTTGGTTTCATATAAGAGAGTCAAGAATCTCAGCAATCAAAAGGCAACAATGTACATGAAACTCAAGCTGTTTTTTTTACCTGGGTTTTGTGATAATGGATTGTCGATTGAGAGATCAGGACAATTTCGAACATCTTTACTTAAATGTGGATCTATCAAGAGGCGTCTCCTTAAACCAGCATATCTACATTAGATAGGAAATTAATAACCTTTTGCTAAACCCAGAAAAATAGCCAAAAAAACTCTGCTCGATTCCAAAATTAGGAAACTTTTGGCAGACACCAACCAACATTGATGTAATTGAAGCTAACCTTCTGCGAGATTCAGCTGTTGCTCTGCGGAGATCGTCGATGGAAGAAGCATGAAACGGAAGAACACCGAGATTCACGCGCCACTGTACGCCTCTTAGATTGGCGAAACGATTATCAGATTCCGACATAGATGGCTCGATCTCTGACGGAACCATAAGTTTCTGTTTTTACTAATCCGGTTTTGTCAAAATTGAAATCAACGAAGGAAGAAATATTCTTCGTGAATTATAAAAAAAATCAATGATTTAAGCTGCCACCGGAAAATTCCTCCGTTGACACCAGAAAGAAGAAATTTAATTGAGACCTGAAAGTGAAATGATAACTAAAAGGAAGATAAGAAAAATGTAAATTCCGATCAGATCGGAACACAATAAAATAGGAGAGAGAGAGATGGAGAGAATCAATTATGTTTCTCTCTCCGAATCCAAGCAAAAAGAGAGAAGGTTTTCTGTAATTTTATTCTTCACAGCAGCTCCATTAATTTTCTCACCCTGTGAAATGAATAAAGAAGAAAATAGGAAGTTTGTTTGTTTCGTGAGAAAAGCAAACTAAAAAGGTGACCTGTCGGAGCAAAGTGGTGAAGAGAAGATGATGAAGAAGCACCAGCTCTCAAAATACAAATTAAATACTCTTTTTTCTTCTTCTTCTTCTTCTTTTTTTTTTTTCTTAAATTATTCTTCATTGACCATATTATTATTCTGTTTTTGTTATTCAATAAATGACTGTTCAAAGAAGTGTATAATATACTACCGTTTGATTTACCACGTAATACGCTTTTTCCAATGATTGTATAGTTAACGACTCGTTAATATCCTTTGAATATATACATTCTTTCCATGTTTGATAAGGTAGTCAATATTCAATAGCATTATAAAATTTATCTTATATCATTGAGATTTTAATTTTACTTTGAGTTTTGATTTTTTAAAATCTTCAAGTTGTATGAATAAACGATGACTCAGTCATAAATCTGATTATAATTTTTATGTACTTTTATTGTTTTGTTTAATTAGATTTATCCTTTAAGTGTTTGTGATACATATTAAAAAAAAAAAAAAGAGATAACATGTTGAAGTGGGTTTGGTCTAGTTAACCAAAAACTAATATTTCTTGTTACTCACTCTGTATAGTTTAACATTAATTATTATTTTTTTGGCAAAATCGTTTACTTTTTGTTGTTCTCTTGTTGCAAATCTCCTGATCTCATGTGCTACATCCTTATTAGTTTAGATCTGTTTCGCACAAAAAAGAAAACAAAGATTGATTTGCGTGGCCTTACAAGTCACTAGGATAAATATTGGTTCTGTGAGACTCCGATTTTAGTGTAAACAAAACTCAAATATAGTGGAATTAATTACGTGAGAAATATGTAAAAGGCATATTCCTCGAATTTCAGATGTGGCGGCGTTAGCCACGAGTTTGATTTACAAGTTGCAAAAAGTCTTATCCAAGTAAGCCTTAACGACACGTCTCCTTTACGTGTCTATGTAGATAGACTTCAACGTAAATTTACGTGTAGGGTGTTCAAAGAAACTACTGTATGTTGTCTTCATGGAAATTACTGAATTCTTGGTACTATATGAATAGCATTTGACCTAAAACATTTTACAAAAAGTCGCTCCAACATTGAGTCTACAAAACTGGAGCCGATCACTGAATCTATGTGGACCATTATAGAGTCTTTACCAATAATCTATATTCAATTACAGAAGATAATAAAACAAGACCAGGCATCAAGATAGTCCCATAAAGTACTTAAAATAATTTTCTTTTAGCAATAATTATTTTGTGATAATATATTTTTTCGTGGACTTGAAAAGTCATATTACAGTAAAACCTCTATAAAACAATACTCGATAAAACAATAAACACTATAAGATAATATTTTTCTCCGGTCCCAACTCGGGCCATGTAAAAAATAGCATAATGCGATAAGATGATAAGACAATAATATTTTTGAAACTCCTATGTAAAAATATAGTCCCAACAATAAGCTAAGATAATAATTATAAAACTAATGCATATATATCTAAGACAATTTAGTAAAATATGACTCCAATGTAGTTTGTCTTTTCTGAAAATTGGATTCCCGTTGGAGCTCATCTCGAATTTTTCTTATTGCATCTACAATTTCTGGAGATGTATTCTCAACATGCAGCCAAAAGTTGTGAAGAGTTCTCGAAGCCACAATTGCATCCTTACGTGTAACTACTTGCACATGTCCTTCCTCATCATCTTCAACTTCATCTTCACCATTAAGAACAGTAGACATAATTTCTTATAGACTTTGAACTTCTGAGCATGAAATATGTAAATAACAAAGTATAAGGAAAATTTGAATAAAAAATCTGAAAAAATATATTTTATAAAGTTTCTTGTTTTTGATAGAATATTTCTATAAAATAATAATTATTGTTTTATCGATAAAATAATTATTGTTTTATCGATAAAATAATAATCTATAAGATAATAAAATTTCAAAGTCCCAACATTATTGTTTTATAGAGGTTTTACTATATCTTGACGGAATGCACGAATGATTGGGGTAATTAGATGCAACTTAAAAGAGCCGGAGAGTTGTTGGTAAGAGTCGGTCCACAAATAGGTTTTTCTATTTCATAAATATCGTTTTCAACGTCGACTCTATTCTTCTACGCCACATGAAATCTTACACGTGGATCCGTCTTCATCACCTCCATTTTTGTCTGATGGAGAAAGAGAACATTGTGATTGTCTATACATCACCTCAAATAAAATGTTCTTCTTACGTCTTTCATTTTCTGCCCGTGTAAGTTTGATTTGTTTGATACGTTCTAGTTTCATTACCATTTTGTTAATCGGTTAAAAGTTTGATTTGAAAGAATTCTAAGAAAGTTCAATCAACCATATCTCTATGGTTGTAGATAACAAAATCCAGAAGTTTTAGAACATGTTCTTTTCATGTTTTTTCTTTTGGCAAACCAATTTATTCAGAGTTTAAGAGACGTTAAATTGTTTAGAAGTTATAACTACAGTTTGGCTTTTTAACTTATCATCAATTGCAATCATTGAACTTTATTACTCCATTACAAATTAAAATGCCCGACAACTGGAATGTAATACACATTGTGACTAACTGATTATATATTAATCTCTTTCCGAAAATTAGGTGAAAGCAACTCACTAACTACAAACTTCTTAAGCCCGAGTGTACTCTCATTCATGCCTGTTTATAATTTAAGATTTGGTCATAACTAATTGGAAGCAACAGAAATTTTAGATTTTGATTTATATATTTATTCCAACTCTGAAGGCCCTTTAACAAAAAAAAAAAAAAAAAAAAAAATATTTATTCCAACTCTTATTTTTATTCTATGAGTCGGATTAAACACATATTTCTAATAGATCCTCTACGAAAAAAAATTATAAGTGAAGTAAAGGTAAGGAAAACTTAATCCGACTCATAAATTAAAATAAATAAACTAATCCTGCTAAAATTAGATCAGACTAGGCCATCGACATCGTACATGTCACATAGTATCTCATCATCTTAAAAGGCAAGGACCGAAAGTATTCTTTATAGCTATAAAATGTGCATTAGCAGACAATCTTTGTTCGGTTTGTCTCTATAGCCCATCATTTGGATGTGAAGGGATTACAATAATTTTGCAAAGCAACAAGACTTCTCATATGTATATGACCCTCGCATGTCAAGAAAAAAGAATAATAAATTTAGCCCTACATGTCATTAAAATAGCATTTCCGAGTAATGCCAGCATGAGGCATCCCATTTAATAGAAACATAAAGTTATATTTTTGGTTTTTGTTTTTTGTTCGCAATCATCAAGTTATACACCACAAAATTGATAGTCGGTGATTATTTCCAAGTCAATGTGTGAATTATGTGAGAAATACCAAAGTTTGTTTTATGGCTAGCTTTTGTTCTTATCTTCGCATCCACCCATGTGGTGTGCATGGTTCAAGTACATCTTTCTCAAGTAAGTCAAGTTGATCTATTCCACCTTGATCATGCGAGAGCTATTAAATTTCCTACATGAACAAGACAAAACAAATTAGATAGACTAGTGGCATAAAACAATAATTATCAATTAATATTTTTAGGTATATGATCATTTGGATACTCACCATACATGCAAATCTAAAACATGCATTACCCGGTGAAGCCTAATTCTTTTAATATTCTTTTCATACAAATCAGAATAAATCTTGGATGTGATGAAAACTATGACTTTTTTATAAGCTACACTGATGTAAGTCTTGTATAAAGCTAGCTTAACCTTAGTTTAGTTTTATCCAGATTCGATTTTTTATTTATGGTCGGCTAACAGTTCCAAATACCAAAAGAACCTACTCACCGGTTTTTTGCCGACCACTGGCTTTTAGCCGACCATATATATCCGACCGACCCGACCCGACCTGACCTCTTAAATTAGATATTTTAGATTTTCTGGATCTGAATGGGCTTATGTAAGCGATTCGGCCCGAATTAACCTTGTAATGGGCTGAGTAGACAATAATGCAAGAAGTCCAATTATTAATTTGCACAAAACGCGTCTGTATTCATAAATACTGAAAAAGCGAAATAAATCTCAAGATTCGCGACCGAAAAGGAAAAATTAGCTGGCGTAAAAGTGTAATTTCCAAAACCACAAGACAATTGAAACAAACAGCGCAAATACAGGGACCTTAAATGAAAATAAAAAATAGTCGGGCGCATTAGCAAAGTAAAGTATCAAAGAGAACGGAGAGTGACGTAAACCCGACCGTTGATAGCACCCTCTCAAGTCGCCGCCGGTGACTCAATCCCCGCCGAAGCAATTACCTCAGAATCTCCCATTTCCTTTTTCGGAAAGATCTTCACTTTTGGCTTCACCTTTCTTAAGCCGTGATTGATTTCACTCCTGCAATCCTCAATCCCCACCTCTTTACTCTCCTTCCAGGTTTCTGCTTATTCTATTAGGCTTTCTCAATTTTGTATTGCTTAAGCTTCTTCCGCTGAATTAGGAGCTACGATTCCTTAGGTTTAGGTTAGTTACAGAATTTATCCTCCCAATTTTCGTTATGTTTTGGGTCACAAGCATAGTGAAAAGATTAGTGCTATAGACGAAAGTTGATTTGATTAGTCTAATGCTCGATCTGTTTCTTTATCTTGTCAATCAGAAACAATTAAAATTCGAAATCATGTATGAATTTAGCAGTGTCATAAATGTGTATTAAGACTTGATTCTTCAGTCATTTTCCCCTGTGGAATGTCAATAAATGGGAAACTAGGATTCAAAGTTTTGATTTTTACTCAAATTGGAATTGTTGATATGATTCTGATAAAGGATTGCTTTTTGAATGTTTAGGGTAAAGATCTTTATATGTTATGAGATGATTTGCTAAGAGGAGTAAGCTTCTGTGTTCGAGGAGCTTGATATGGAGGAGAGTGAAACAAAGGGGAGAATCAAGCAACAAAACGAAAAGGCTTGTGTTTCAGTTGAGAGAATTGAGTCTACTTTGCTCTCATCTTTTGTGAAGAAAGGAAAAGAAACGTCAAATAAGAGAAACTATAAGCGAAACAAGCGCAAAGCCGAAGAAGAAATCTGTTCAAAACCAACCAAGAAGAGGAATGCTCGAGGATTTGTTCAGTGCAAGGAGGTGGAGAAGGAGGAGGTTAAGAAAACAAGGAAGAGGAAAAGTAAGAGACAGCAAAAGGATAATAAGGTTGAGGTAGATGAAGCATTGCGGTTGCAGAGGAGAACAAGGTATTTGCTTATTAAGATGAAGATGCAGCAGAATCTTATTGATGCATATGCCACTGAAGGTTGGAAAGGTCAGAGGTACAACATTTTGAATTTACTCTCTTTTGACTCAATGTTTTTTGTGTGAAAAAGTTTTGGAGTTTTATGATTTCTTTGGATATATTACCATATGAATACTTCTGAATCTATAGACGTTTTTACGCGTATACAAGCTTTTTCTTTGTTTCCAAACCGAACATTTATTCCTATATCCGCCTTAGGCCTTTGCGTTTGCGTTTTGCGCTTACATGTTTATAGTAATCTAGTTATCATTTTGTAAAGTTCAAATGGAAAGGCAAGCACAAATGTGAAGAAACAACCATGGCCTTATTTAGCTGCAAACAATTAATGTGGTTTGACCCTTATATCTGTGTTTTCTTCAGCCGGGAAAAGATAAGACCATACAAGGAGCTTGAGAGAGCACGGCAACAGATCTTAAACTGCAAGCTTGGACTACGCGACGCCATTCGCCAGTTGGATGTGCTTAGCTCGGTGGGATGCATTGAAGAGCAAGTGATGGCTGCAGATGGATCTATTCATCATGACCATGTAAACAAATCTCTATCTATTCGCTTTCATTATAGTCATGTTTGCACTATGTGCTTATTATCTAATTCATGTCTACTTGGTTGATACTGGAAACTGCCCTGGAGAGTTGCTTGATGAGGTTTTACCATTTGCAGATATTTTGTGCGACATGCAATTCTCGAGAAGCTTCTGTGGACAATGATATAATACTTTGTGATGGAACGTGTAATCGTGCATTTCACCAGATGTGTCTTGACCCTCCTTTGGAAACAGAGAGCAGTATGTTTTGCCTATCTATTACGTTATACATACATATTGTCTTAGAGTAAACACACCTGGTTATTTGTCTCATTCTTTTTTTTAATAATCTCAACAGTACCTCCTGGAGATCAGGGATGGTTTTGCAAATTTTGTGATTGCAAAATTGAAATCCTCGACTCAATGAATGCGCAGATAGGAACAAGTTTCCCTGTGGATAGCAACTGGCAGGTAAAAACCTTTGGCAAGTACCAGAGTGTTGCATTTTGTTTGAAACGAGATAGAGACACTTTGCTGTCATAACTCTGCTTTACTCTTCTAGTTTTTGAAACTTGTGCAATTTTTTCTAATGGATAAGGATATCTTCAACGAAGAAGCTAGTCTTCCTATTGGATCTGAAGCTGCTCTTAACACCGAAGTGGATTGGCCTTCGGATGACTCTGAGGATGGTGATTATGATCCCGAAACGAAGGAAAACAGCGTAGCAAGTACCAGGAGAAGCATTAGTGATGATGGTGGTGGTGATGATGATGGAGAAAGCGATTCATCTAGCGTGAGTTTAGCTTCTGATGGTGAAGCCCTTTCAACAGGATCATGGGAAGGCGATAGCAATATGATGGAGTTATGCGAAACAAGTAATGAAGAAGCTGTAAGTGGGCCAAGACAACGGAGGACTGTTGACTACACAAAACTATACCATGTGAGTACAACATCCATGGATTTCAAAATCCCTTAAAATGTTGATAAGCTTCGGTTAATTTTGTTATTGATGATTGTTTTGGTGGTTATATTTTGTATCAGGAAATGTTTGGAAAGGATGCTGGTTTACAAGAGCCAGGTAGTGAAGACGAAGACTGGGGTCCGTGTGAGAGAAGGAAGAGAAGAAAAGAATCTGATGCAGCAAGCACACTTGTAACCATGTGTGGAAACAGTAAGAAAGATCAAGATGTTGTAGAAATAGCGGAACGGAAAGAGAGAGATTCTGTCTCTGTAGAAGGTAAAGGTGGTCGAAGGCCGATGTTCAGACTCCCAAGGGCTGCAGTTGAGGTTTGAAATTGCTACTTCCCTGTGTTTAGTCTCTTATGTGAAGTTACCGTAAGAATAAAGAGAAAAAAATCTATTACTAAGTTTAAAATTGTTTGTATAAATGTACCAGAAGCTACGTCAGGTGTTTGCAGAGAATGAGCTTCCTTCAAAAGCTGTGAGGGATAGTCTTTCAAAAGAGTTGAGTCTTGACCCAGAGAAGGTAACACTTAGCTTATTAGGCTCATTCATATAGCTAACCAATATTGATTTCCTTAGTATTGTTTTGGCTGGTTGTGTGCTTAAATTTCATATTTCAGGTCAGCAAATGGTTCAAGAATGCACGGTATATGGCATTGAGGAATAGGAGGGTAAATAGCTCGTTACTTGCTTCATTCTCACATATGAACATTGTCTGGATTCCTTCAGAAACTTAGAAACTTCTTACCATGAGATCAATCATTTGGCCATTCTTTTCCTATTTACAGACGGAGAGTGTGAAACAGCCTGAGGATTCTAAGGCATTCTCTGCAGATTCTGGACCAGAAGCAGTCATGGATAAAAACACAGAAACAAATGTGATTCAAGATACCATGGACGAGACTGTCATGGAGGAGAACACAGAAACAAACGAAATTCAAGATACCATGGACGAGTCTGTCATGGAGGAAAACACAGAACCAAATGAAATTCAAGATACTGTTGACGAGACTGTTGTGGAGGAGAACACAGAAACAAATGAAATTCAAGATACCATGGACGAGACTGTCATGGAGGAAAACACAGAAACAGATGAGATTCAAGTAACCATGGAAGAGACTGTCGTGGAGGAGAACACAGAAACAAATGAAATTCAAGAAACCATGGAAGAGACTATCATGGAGTATAACACAGAAGCAGATGAAATTCAAGATACCACCATGTACGAGACTGTTCCGCCTGGATTCATTGATTCTGGTATGAATAAGACAACAATTTCTCCCTGTAAAGAGGACCAGGAGGAAATTCAACAGGCCATTGTCTCCTTGCCTACACCTGTAGAAGATGAAAGTCAACAATATATGGAGCAGAAAGACTCTTCGTTAGAGGTATGATAAAATTTATCACTTCTTGCCAAAATAAAGTTTATAGAACATTAACTAGTCATTGAAATTACTTTGACCACTGGTTTTGGAGAAGTTTTAGATTTTCTTAAAGTTATTTGTTCTTGTTGTGTTTCAGCCACATGAAGAGCCAGATGAAGAGCTAAGCAGCGAAATGAGCTTAAAGGCGTCTCTAGAGGATGAGACAGAGACAGAGAGCAAGTTGACGGAAGAGGAAGAATTTGAAGCAGTGATGGAGATGCTTTGTAGGGCTGAAAACAAAGTTTTGGATGTGACGCAGAGGCTTGAAAGATTTAAAACACCCAAAGGCCGTAAAAAGATAGGCAAGTCTTATTCCTCTTTACCTGAAGAAGACTCTGTAGTGTATGTTCCAATAGCAGAGATCAAGGAGAAAAAGTAAACAAAACAAAGAGATCTCTTGCAGAAGTTTTGGTATTGTTAGATTCTTTCTTTGGGAACTTAGTCTAAGAATACCTCGTGACTCGTGTAGCTTTTGTATTATTAACTTTGTATGTGTCATTTAAACATCAAATAAATCCCAGAAAAAAAATATAAAAATGGGTTTTCTTTTATAGAATTTTTTGTCTCTGTTTCATTACATTTCTTTTAGCCCCTTTTCCAATTAGTTTCCACTCTTACTCAAAATTACAAGATTTAGGCTTCTTACATATGGTCTGGTTTAGCTTCAATAAAACTGTAAACTTATCTCCTTCACAAGCTTGTTGCCAAACTTAAGATCATTAGAAATTATAATTCTGAATTTCATGAAGGGATTTTATAAGTTTCAAAGAAGTTTATTACAATACCCATCAGATGTTTTGAAGCGCAAATAAACAACCTTACAGTAGTACCCTCTTACAACAATACATCTCCACAAATATTGCTTAAAAACCGATTTTAGTGAAAAAGAGAAAGAAATTAGAAGTTGACGAGACAACTTGGATCATTATAAGCTGCAATTGCCGTTTGTATCTTTATCTCTACTGTACTCCTCTCTTCTTCATCTGCCTGCATATTCAGCATTAAGTTTAATTTAACCAAAACTATAAAGTCATAGACTAACATAAAGAAACGCATATCAAACACTCTAATCGTGACGATCGCAGAAAATCTCCATTTTAGTTGACTCTTTTTAATTTAATTTTTAAAAATGATAAAAGAAAACTATGACTCATAAATTTGTTGTATACTTGTATACTACAAGACAGGTAATATAATAATTCTTCATGGAAAAAGGGTAAATCATTGCTTTTATATAATTTGAAAAAAACGACAAATAAAGACAGGTTAGAAAATGAAATGATAACACCTTTTTTAGTAAAAGATGATTGGAGTAAGAAGATCTCACCAACTCTCCATCACTCCTTTTCTCACTGGTCTACCTTACTGTATTTTTAGCGTCTCACTATATTAATCTTTAAAAACTCTAATGTTATAAAGATGGGCGAAAACAACATAAAATATTATTCTATTCGTTTGGTTTTTCCAACCTACGACATACTACTATAACCAAATTGTCAGAAAATAGAATGTTAGATCACGAAAATAGCATTTTAGTAACTACGGTGTAATTTCGTTTTTTTTTTAAAACGTCTCGATAATGGACTATAATAAATTAGATAGAGAGAAACTATATTGAAACAATAACTCTTACAGAACCGGGATTATTAAGAGTAAAGATCTTATGTGAACCATGTACTAGTTTTACTTTAAACACTTATCATCTCATTTGAAATAAACAGCAAGAATACTTGACAAATTTATGGAAAATAGACAAAAAAAAATACTGCTAATTGGCTATTGTAATTTATTTCAGCCGGCATTTTACTATTGTTGTGTTGAAAATGAAAAACCCACGTGCTAAAACAGCCACTGTGAAAAAGGACAAACGTTGAAGCGCGTGAGGTCATTAATAGCCACGTTTTTCTGGTGCTAATATACGTTTGGACGACGATTTATGCGACACGAGGCACCTAGGTTTAACACACAAATTAAACTAAGTTTTTCTAATTGTCTAATGGAGATTGGAGTATGACATTAAGCTTTTTAGCTATAAGCTTTTTGATAGAATCTAGCCCCCGAAAACAAAGTCAAGGCGAATTTCGAAAAAAGAAAGGAAACTGATGGGCTCGAGGCCACCTCAATAATTGGAGCTTTAATTGATTGATTAGGATAGTATTAATATAATACTATCAAGGTTATAAGAAAAGTAATCAAGGTGTAACGTGAATGGAGACAGGTAGGAACAAAGTAGTAATTATATGGGTCCGTCTAAAGGTTACCCTTTAGAATATGAGAGTGGTTTTTCGAAAAAATTAACTCAAAACAACAATTTTTTTGGGTACTGTTGTATGCTGAATGAGTGAATGAGACAGCTTATTTTCTTTTACCAAAAAAATGAACAATCGACTTTACTAGTCGTATGTTTTTTAATTCACATAGTGATTGATTGATTGATGTACACCTAAGGGGATTTGTCTACGTGCCGTCAGACGAGCATTCTTCTTCGAAATCACCAAAAAGAAATTATATACGATTATAAGAATATTTAAATCTGGTATAAATAGATTTTTTGGGGGTGTAAAATATAGTATATAGTTTGTGACAGGATAAGTGGACAAATATGTTTAGGCCAACAAAATGCCATAAACTAGTTTTACAGCTAACTAACACTAACATATCGATCTAAACAATATTTTTTTCTAAATTGATTGTAGTATAATATATATCTTCTCGAATCGAGTATTGTGGTCTGATCACCGCAAATGCGTCAACCAAAACAAGAAAATGTGTTGTTGTACACGCGTATAGAGTTTTCTGTCGCAAGAGACACAACTTTGACCTCAAATTATGACTTACATTTCACTATACTGTGCTTGTTAACACAAATGTAGTAGATCCACCAAATATACATTTTTTTTTTGAATTTGTAAAATAATGGAGAATCAAAATTGTAAGAAAAAGATGAAAGAGTAGAGAAAGAGAATGTGACCTGGAGGAAGAGAGTGGTGGAGAGACGAGAGGAGAAAGAAGAGAAATTAGTAGTGAGAATGTTGAGATTCAAAGACTCCAACACTTTACAAAGCTGCAACATTGTCTCTCTCTTTTTGCTACATGTTATGCATACCACTACTGTCTTTTCTCCCATCCATGTCACCTTCATCTTTTCATTTTTAAAAAATAATTAATTTGAAATTAATCAACTTCAACCCAAAAGAAATGTACAACCAGAAAAATTGCATAGTACTTACTTCGAGAACTTCGATGATGGGGGAGTGATTATGAACTCTAGTATTTGATGACCCAAGAGTATTGTAATCCATTTTTTTGAACTTCTTTGATCTTTGGACATTAATGTCTGTGAGATCTTGCTGTTGATTTTCAAGGAAATTATTGATGCAATCGTAATCTCCTATCGGATTTTCAAGCAATGTAGATCGTGTTTCCAGCTCTCTGATCTCTGCTTCTAGCCTTTTCTCTTGATCCATAAGTTCTTGCATATAATTTATTGAATCTTTGATGACAGATGCCTTGTCCAACTAAATATACAAGTATATATAAGTATAATTTAATTAATTACAATCAAATCATTACACGTATATTTACAAGTGTAGTTTATTTACATTTTACGTTGGTCACATATGGTCTCACTGTTAGAGGATAAGAATTTGGTTTGTTTTTTTATTTAACGTTGGTTGGATTTGGTTTAACTAGATTGAATACACATGTAGTTTTATTTTCTTCGGAAGAAAGTGTTTCGATTATTCAATTACTGTTGACCAAAAATATTTTCTAATGACGAGACTTTTTTGTATTAAATTATTTGGATGAAAAAAATAATGTAACAGAGACAGTTGGTTAAATTAATAAAGAGAAACCATTAATGGGATGAATCACACCTTGCTTATATTGGGAACGACTGATCGGAGAGCGAAGAGTCTCTGATTAAGCTTTTGCCGTCTGTTCCTCTCAGAGACCACGTTCTTAGAAGACGCCGGCAATGTTTCTGCTCCGTCCGGCGAACTTGACTCGCCGGAACCCGAAAATGCTTCCTCCATCGGCCAACTGCATTATTTAATAATTAAATCAGTTTAACTAGTTACCAACTTTAAAAAGGAGAAATTTTAACAGATTCTGGAAGTACGTACCTGTCAAATTCGAGTTCTTGATTCTGGAAGAACATTGTGGTCTCCCAGTAATTCTTGTACTCATCATCCAGATCTTCCATTTTCGGACACACACAAAAGAAAGAAAATGATGCTTTCTTGAAACGGAAGGTTTTGTTTGTTCTTTCTTTCTGTCTTTTGATTTAGTGTAGTGTCCACAACAAGAGTGGGCCGAGGTTTTTATAGAGAAAGAGTCTGACAGAGAGAGAAGGTACAGTTTTTAGGCACGTGGGATATGTAGGATCTTAATCTCCTGAAACAATATCCGATCTTGACCGTTCAATGCAGAGATCTAAAATCTGATTCCTTTTGTCCAATTAAATAAAAGTTAAGACCAATGATTATCGTATCTTTCTCTTTCACTCAAAATATGCATCGGTCATATGTGGGATTTCTTACAACATATGTAGTACTAAATTTAGGTGGTGTACCATTCCAGTTTCATTTAAGTTTTGTTAACGCCATAATAATTTTACCTTTTTATGACATTTCATGATATTCGATTCAAGATACTTCCTTTACGGACTTTTTATAAACAGGTTTACATAAATTTATATTTCGTTAACACTGTTTTCAAATTTTCTCCTGATAATTAGTATATAAGTTTCAAAACTCGAATATAGAATTAGGTAGACATCATGGTTATGTGTATCCGTACGTAATGATTATGGCCAATAATGTTGATGATGAGTTTTGATTGTCAACTTTGTTGCTAAACTTTTTTTAAAGATAATCTAATTGGGCCCAGAAGATTCTTTAATGTCCTGAGTACAGCATAATGTGTGTGTGTGTAAATTTATGAAATTTTTTTTACTAAAAACAAAATTCTAGATTTGTTGAAGTCGTAAAATTTGGATTAAAGAACGGACACTTATGCTACTGTCATTTGGATTCCGGTGTTCGGTGACGAACTAGTATTCGGATATGATTTTAAACCTCTTTGACCAATTAATTTGAATATTTTTCACAGCCAGTTTAAACTAAAAATCCTAAAAATCACATGACCTTACTATGAAGAATTGGGTGCTAAATTAATTTCGGACAAATATTTATTTTTATCTGAAGCAGACGAGCCCAAACCCGTACATGTCCACACACAACTCGTTTATTCGAAGCCCCACGAGAAAAATGTTTAACACGTTTATATTATTCGAGTTGACCCGCTCGGTCAAATGGAGCCCTGATTTGGATTATTTGTCATTTTGTATGGTATTTTAAGCCTTTTCAGTGTGAATCTAACTCGATATACTTATTCTATTAAACACAAATTGACAGATCTAGATTTTCGAATGCCAGTGTATAAGACTCAGAGAACGGAAAATACTAAACAAATACAAATATAAAGTTAAGCAACAAAGTTTAGCCACTCCATTCCATACGCCGTAATCATGCAAAACTTTAGATTTGGACTCGAGATCCTCCGTATAACTGAGTTTTAAAAACAAACAGAAAATGTTGAAAATCGAACTTAGGTTCTCGGATCTTTACTCACTCCCTTACAATTGGAATCTTGAGAAAAATATGGATGAAGGAGAGGTGTATTAATTTAAGTGTATGAAACAAAACAGTGTGTTTGTTTCTTACGATTTTGCTTTTACATTATAAAGTCGTGGCTTGGGTGGCCCAACATGATCTTGGTGATCAAAGATAATTATAATAAAATCATTGGCCAAAAAATATATGTTGACATGCTTCCATACGTTACTACGTGGAGGATTATACATCACATGACTTGTTATGGTTTTGATTAAGAATTCATCCAAACGTCTTAATATAAAGTTTTGTGTGCATTACTCGATATTCTTTTGTTTAAATATTGGATAACATAAAATAATAGGCTAGAAGCCAATTTAGCTATTATCTGTTGAACATTCATAAATCTGGATGAGTCACCTAACACCTAGCAAAATATGAAAATTGATTAGATTAGGTCTAAGTCACAACTAAACATTCCCAATATTGTCGGAATCAGCTATCTTTTGTTTTTAAAAAGTGAACACTAAGCTTACATTCCACTTCTAACTTCGTTCGTTTTTTATAAAATGAGAGCAAATGATTTCTAGAAGAATGCATCTACGTGGAGCTAAAATTAGCCATTCATTTTATATATTCTAATACAAATGCAGCTTATAGTTTTGAAATCTAATATATTTAGTAGAAAACATCCGTTTCGATATTTAGTTTTGTGAGACAAACAGTTCTTTTGCAAGAATTATATTGGGCTACTTCACGTATTGAACAGTGATATATGTTTGAAGTTAGACCCAAACAAATATCATTATGGTTCTAGCCCGTTTGAATGTTCCTAATTTTAGCGTTGAGTGGCTTTAAAAAATTATATACCGCCGTATACACTTAAAAAAAAACGTAAATGCAACATAAATACATTATCGTTTAATGTTTTGGTGTTACCAGGTTTATCTCAGTATCAGACTTTGCTATACTGTTTGCCAATTATTTAAAATTTCTTATAGATTTCCTCATTTCAACTTAATTTAGAGAATTTAAGCTTATACAGATTATGAACTATTCGACCATTTCGCTGTTTCACTGTTACCTATCGTTTCTATATATAGTAGTTCCAATAGTTTTCACACATAAGAGCTAAGAAATAAAGTTTATTATCTTCTAACGAGAAGTTTCTTTGCGTAGCTATATAGGAAAAAAGCAAGTTTCTTATTATTCATTTGGACAAAAGGATCGAATCTTGTAGATATACCATCACAAAATAACATGTATGTCTATGGCCGATCAAGTTTACTCATAATTCTTAACATTTACACCAACAAAAAAAAGTCTACTCATAATTCATACTATATACTTATAAACTTCAAAATATACTAAGTATGATAATATTCTTACTGATTTCTGTTTCACGGATAATTTAAGCTATCTTTGTTTTTGGTCAACAGTTAAGTATAACAACTGAAAAAAAGAAAGAAATCATTTATATGTCTTGTGATGGAAGTAAAGAAACATTCGTTCAACAGTACCCAACGAAAGACAAATACAAAAGTGAGTGAAAATTAAATTTGTTATAAAGAAAAGAGCTTAATTATTCCTCTTTGACCGATCCTCTTCAATGATTTGCTACGTTTTACGTTTTCCCTTTTGATGTTCCTATTCTTATATAAATTTGATACTATCAAATATCAAATTAGGCAGTACTAACTAGTAACTACTAAGGTACCAACTATGAATATTTTTTTATAAAAAAAAACGAAATACTTCGGGCACTGCTATACTTGTATGCCAGCCTTACACTATAATCTACGGTGAACGAATGTTAAAAATGGGATTCATCCGGCCAAAATCATTCAGAAATTTCAATAAACTACGCTTTAGATGTATACTATATGTTGTATTCATATGCATACACTGATACACATACATTTAATATTTGTAAAAGACATACACATACATGGTAAAGATGATCTCTAATACATATAGAAAGTTATGTTCCCAAAGAAACAAAAGTAAAGATACGTATATGAGCTTTATTTTTGGATACGACGCTAGATGATCAAAAGAATTATATGAAACCAAAATTTCATCTTTTAAGTTATATAAAAATAGTGAAAACTATCCATAAAAGATATAAAAGGTTAAAACTGCTTTTTTGACTGCAATAGTTGAAACTGTACTACATATCGTAACAATCGTATAGTCCCTTTAATCTTTACCTTTTTCAATTGTACAAAAAAATATGATAATTACTTGTTAAAAAAAAGATAATTGCGTTTCTCTTATAATTTTATATTAATATTAGCTCAAGTAATTGAAAACTGTGTTAACAAAACGAGAAGAAAAATACATAGCTGTTGCCAAAAAGGAAAACTACTTAATTACTGATCGTTAGGGTAATACAAAGCGCTTGTTGCTAAAGTCGGGTATTAAACCAACACATTTACAACACGATGTATAATTACACCGGTCGAGAAGAAGATTCAGGATTTAAATTGCTAATGCTGTTTAAATCGTTAATACTTGGTTCGGTTTGGGTTCAAGTACTTCAGTTTTCAATATATTTGGTTTATGATTGATAGCATGTAGTTTTGATTTAGCTTTGTACGTAATTGAGTTTTTAACCTCAGTTATTTTTATTTTAAATAATTGATAATACTAATATATCCAATCTAGCTAGCTAATTTCGTTCGAATAAAATAGCCCTAAAGGTATGAACATATAATGATGGCATTAATTTTTTTTACTTTTCTTTTATTCGACTTTAAATCTGATTTCTTTAATCTAACCTGGAGGTTATGATTTATGAACAAAAGATAATCGATCTGATAAAAGTAACCCTAAGCTGTACCCTTTATACCATTGGAAGATTTACTTTCTTTCGAAAAACAAAGTCTTTAAATTCACATCAAAAGAAGATTATAAAGGAGAAAGAGGAAAAACAATAAAGATAAATATTCTCGTTGGGATCAGAGAAACTAAGACATCGGAGAAAGAATGTGGCAGCAATGATCAGTTAATACGTCATCGTTTATGCATGAAGTTCTAACTTATTACAGATATATTCTAACCTTTTCTTTTTTGCTTTTATTTGTGTGTGTTTTTTTTTTCTTGAGCTGTAACTTTAATCACATTCTCTTAGATTTCAGTAGCAAAAGCTCTTCACACCTTCCTTCTTTATTCTTTTACATGCTTTATTTTTTCTTATTTCTCTTTTGGTCATTTCTTTTGTCCCCGATTTGTCTCTCCAATAACATTTCTTTTGCAATAACTAGATTTAAAATCGGTTATTACAAACATACAAAACCGGTTTATCACATGATGAATCACTGTTGATCGTTCGGTAGATAAAGTATAATTAACGACCCACTGTAAGAAACCTATTGTAAGCATTAACCAACTAAAATCGGCTACCATTACCAGCATTGAGTTCCTCGATCATGTACATTTTAAGGTCGCACTCAGTTAATTTTTTCCAATAAAACCATCTCATAATTCATAAATGCTTTAAGGAAAATATAATTCCTATCGAATTCCTATCTAATCATGTTTAAAGTCTTCGTACGTGAGGTATAGCTTTTGCATGGGAGAAGACATA